TCGATGGTGTTGTGCGCAACGGTGAGATGCTGGTTGTCCTTGGTCCTCCTGGTGCTGGTTGTTCCACCACCCTAAAGACCATTGCTGGTGAACTCAACGGTATCTACGTCGATGATGGATCCTACTTCAACTATCAGGGTGAGTCAAGTTCCATATCTGAGACGGGAGAATCATAACGGTTTCACCGGACTCGATCTTCTGTTGCGCGTCTGTTGTTGAGCAACGTGGGTCGTGCCCCTGTGAAACCGACGATCACTCGTATGCGACTGTCAACAGCGGCTAACACTTTTGCGCATAGGTATGACCGCCAAGGAGATGCACTCTCACCACCGTGGTGAGGCCATCTACACCGCCGAAGTTGATGTCCACTTTCCTCAGCTGTCTGTTGGCGATACCCTCACTTTCGCCGCTCGCGCTCGTCAGCCCCGCCAGCTCCCCCAGGGTTTGAACCGAAACGACTTTGCCGATCACCTGCGAGATGTTGTCATGGCCATGTTTGGCATCTCTCACACCGTCAACACCCGCGTCGGTAACGAGTACATCCGTGGTGTCTCGGGTGGTGAGCGCAAGCGTGTCACCATTTCCGAGGCCGCCTTGTCTGGCGCTCCTCTGCAGTGCTGGGATAACTCAACTCGAGGTCTGGATTCGGCCAACGCCATTGAGTTTTGCAAGACCCTCCGTCTTCAGACCGAGCTCTTTGGCAGCACCGCCGTCGTGTCCATCTACCAGTCTCCCCAGAGCGCCTACGATCTCTTTGATAAAGCCACTGTCCTCTATGAGGGTCGTCAAATCTTCTTTGGCCGCGCCGATGCCGCGAAGCAGTACTTTGTCAACCTTGGTTTCGAGTGCCCTGCTCGTCAGACCACCCCCGATTTCCTCACCTCCATGACAGCTCCCCTGGAACGTCATGTGCGACCTGGATTCGAGGGCAAGGTGCCTCGCACACCTGATGAGTTTGCTACCGCCTGGAAGAACAGCGCCGAGTACCGTGCTCTTCAGGCTGAGATTGAGGAGTACAAGGTGGCTCACCCCATCAACGGCCCCGACGCTGAGGCTTTCCGTGCCTCCAAGCAAGCCCAGCAGGCCAAGGGTCAACGACAAAAGTCTCCCTTTACCCTCTCTTACAACCAGCAGATTCAGCTGTGTCTGTGGCGTGGTTGGAAGCGACTTATTGGTGACCCTGGTTTGACTGTCGGTGCCTTGATTGGTAACTTTGCCATGTCTCTCATTATCGGATCTGTCTTTTACAACCTTGACGAGAACTCTAGCAGTTTCTTCCGTCGTGGTGCTCTTCTGTTCTTTGCTTGTTTGATGAATGCTTTTGCCAGTGCCCTCGAGGTGAGTTATTATGGCCTCATTAGTGTTTCAATACTGACATTTTCAGATCTTGACCTTGTACGCACAACGCCCAATTGTCGAAAAGCACAGCCGTTACGCTCTTTATCATCCTTCCGCTGAAGCTATTTCTTCCATGCTTTGCGATATGCCCTACAAGATTGCCAACACCATCGTCTTCAACTTGTCACTCTACTTCCTGACAAACCTGAAGCGTGAGCCCGGAGCGTTTTTCTTCTTCCTGCTCATCTCGTTCGCTACTGTCTTGGTCATGTCCATGATCTTCCGTACCATCGCCTCGGCCTCTCGAACCCTGTTCCAGGCTCTCGTCCCAGCTGCCATTTTGATTCTGGATCTCGTCATCTTTACCGGTTTCGTCATTCCTAAGCGTTATATGCTTGGTTGGTGCAAGTGGCTCTACTGGATTGATCCCATTGCCTACGCTTTCGAGGCCCTGGTCGTCAACGAGTTCCACAACCGCGATTACACTTGCGATGAGTTTGTCCCCCGAAACGACGTTGAAGGCTATACCGATATCCCCTCGGCCAACCGTGTCTGCAGTGCTGTCGGTGCTATTGAAGGCCAGTCTGCTGTGAACGGTGACCGTTACGCCGAGATGAACTTTGACTACAAGTGGGAGAACCGCTGGCGCAACTTTGGTATCGTCATTGCCTGGACTGTTCTGTTCCTCTTTACCTACATGGTTTCTGCTGAGCTCGTCTCTGAGAAGAAGTCCAAGGGTGAAGTCCTGGTCTACCGCCGTGGTCACAAGCCCGCTGCTGTTGCCAACGCCGAGAAGAAGCACAGCGATCCCGAGGCCGCCATGGCCCACATTGGTCCCATTGTCACTACCGAGCGAACCCGCAGCCGAACCGCCAAGGATGGTGGTGTTCTCCAGGAACAGACTTCTGTCTTCCAGTGGCACGACGTCTGCTATGATGTCAAGATCAAGACCGAGACCCGCCGCATTCTGGATCACGTTGATGGTTGGGTCAAGCCTGGTACTCTGACTGCTCTGATGGGTGTCTCTGGCGCTGGAAAGACGACTCTTCTGGATTGTTTGGCCGACCGTACTTCTATGGGTGTCATCACGGGTGAGATGTTGGTTGACGGATCCCCTCGTGACATGTCCTTCCAGCGCAAGACCGGTTATGTTCAGCAGCAGGATCTCCACCTTCAGACTTCGACCGTCCGAGAGGCCCTCAACTTCAGTGCCCTTCTGCGCCAGCCTGCCCACGTTCCCCGCGAGGAGAAGCTCGAGTACGTCGAGCAGGTTATTAAGCTGCTTGATATGGAGGAATACGCCGATGCCGTTGTTGGTGTCCCTGGTGAAGGTCTCAACGTCGAACAGCGAAAGCGCCTGACTATCGGTGTCGAACTTGCCGCCAAGCCCCCTCTGTTGCTCTTTGTCGACGAGCCTACCTCTGGTCTTGATTCGCAAACGTCTTGGGCTATTCTCGACCTTCTTGAGAAGCTGACCAAGGCCGGCCAGGCTGTCCTCTGCACTATCCACCAGCCTTCTGCTATGTTGTTCCAGCGCTTCGACCGACTCCTCTTCCTGGCCAAGGGCGGCAAGACTGTCTACTTTGGTGACATTGGCGAGAACTCTCACGTCATGACTAGCTACTTTGAGCGCAACGGTGGACACGCGTGCCCTCCCGAGGCCAACCCCGCCGAATGGATGTTGGAGGTTATTGGTGCCGCTCCCGGATCCCACACTGAGGTCGATTGGTTCAAGACGTGGCGCGAGAGTCCCGAATATCAGGAGGTTAAGACCGAGCTCGAGAGGATCAAGCAGGACAAGCAGGGTGCTTCCGATATTGACGAGGACCCCGCCAGCTACCGCGAGTTCGCCGCTCCCTTCATGGTTCAACTCAAGGAGGTCCTGTACCGCGTTTTCCAGCAGTACTGGCGCACCCCTGTCTACATCTACTCCAAGGCCGCTCTTTGCACCCTTGTCGCCCTCTTCATCGGTTTCGTCTTCTTCAAAGCCCCCAACAGTATCCAGGGCCTCCAGAACCAGATGTTTGCCATTTTCAACCTGCTCACCATCTTCGGTCAACTTGTTCAGCAGTCGATGCCGCAGTTCGTTATCCAGCGCTCCCTCTACGAAGTCCGTGAGAGACCCTCCAAGGTGTACTCCTGGAAGGTTTTCATGGTCTCGCAGCTTATTGTCGAACTTCCTTGGAATGCGCTGATGGCCGTCATCATGTTCTTCTGCTGGTACTACCCTGTCGGTCTCTACCAAAACGCCTCGGCTGCCGACCAGCTGACGGAGCGTGGCGCTCTGATGTTCCTCTTCTTGTTCATGTTCCTCATCTTCACCTGCACCTTCTCGACTTTCATCATTGCTGGATTTGAGACGGCTGAAGGTGGCGCCAACGTCGCTAACCTGATGTTCATGCTTTGCCTGATCTTCTGTGGTGTCCTCGCCCCCAAGGACTCTATGCCCGGCTTCTGGAAGTTCATGTACTACGTGTCGCCATTCACATACCTAGTCGGAGGCATGTTATCCACAGCCGTCGCCAACGCCGATGTCGTCTGCGCCAGCAACGAGTGGGTGTCCTTCACTCCTCCCAACGGCACCACTTGCGCCAAGTTCATGGAGAGCTACATTGCCCAGGTCGGCGGCAAGCTCCAGGACCCCGAGGCCACCGACAAGTGCAGCTTCTGCACCATCGCCTCCACCAACGTCTACCTCGGCGCCGTCAACATCGACTACGCCGACCGCTGGCGCAACTTTGGCCTCCTCTGGGTCTACGTCTTCTTCAACATGGGCGCCGCTCTGTTTGTCTACTGGCTTGCTCGCATGCCCAAGAAGACTTTCAAGAAGAAGGAGAAGAAGGCGTAAATATTGTCGGGAATGAAAAGTTAAATGAGATGTGGATTTTTTGTTTGATGTAACTGAGGCTCTGATGAGAGACCTCTGGACATAGACGGCAAAGAGATTTTGCCCATGTACACACGATTTTTGTTCGCTAGACACACTGTAATACCTTCATGATACAGACAGACAGACAAGAGGGAGAGAAGAATACCCAGACCCCACTATTCAATGAATCATTTTCTTTCGATCGACTGTAAAGGCATCTGTGCTGGTATTGTAACACTCATGTATCGATCGTGAGAGCTTCACGAAAATGAAATAAGTAGTAATAAGTATCATCCTGAGGTTTAGGTCAAGATGGTTTCTTGGTAAACAACGAGGCATTAGATTGCAATAGTCTCCCCCAGATTTGGTCCTTGGCTGCTAGGTACCTTTGGTACTCAAGGATACCTACCTACTGCTGTGGGTCTAGACTGATTATGGGCCCGATGGCGACGGGAGGTCTAGCCGGTCTAAGCTACCTAGGCAAAGTGCCTGCTTCCAAAGTATATACATGTGCCTCAAGGTCACCCTGACAGCCCTGACAAAGAGCACACGTATTATTATGATGAGCAGGCTCTTGGTGCTTTATACTGTAGGATAAGGAAATTTTCATTATAATATTACTATCATTATAGTTTTTTTTAAAGGGAAAAAGGGGTTTCTTAATGTTTTATCCACTAGATTCTAAGGCCTTTCCTTCGGCTAGATCCGGCATTTCTAAGCATGCATGAATAAAACCCCTCGCCAGACCGAAATCGAAGCCCAACCCATTATCCTCTTAGCATTCTTCGACCTAACCCCCTTGAGATAGCGCTTCCGCCATGGGACACCTGGTCCTGATCAACTTGGACCCGTCCCGGGATACCTCGCCCCACGTCAGGTTCAAGAAGGACAAGATTCAAGATGTGAGATGTCTAACTCCTATTTTCAACATCCTCGTTAACGCTGGGCCAGCTTGGACTCGACCTGACATGCGTCGTCTGGACACTCCCACAAAGCAGCGAGTCTACACCCATAGAAACCTTGCGGTTAAAGCTACGTGAGCTCAACGAAAACCCCGAGGTAGTCGGCGTATGCTTCATCTCCCCATTGCCAAAGGGCTTGGGTCGCATAGACCTGGGCGAGCTGTGTTTACTACTCGACGAAAAAAAGGATGTAGAGGGCCTCCGGAATGGCAGTCGCCAGAATGTCTTAGCTATAGGCCTCGTCGACTACTACCTGGACAAGACGGGCTTATCAGAACTTTCACCACGCGTGGTTATCACCCGGCGTGTCGATATGATGACTCGATCGTTTATCGATACGCTCAGTGTTCGACAGTATCCTATCGAGGTGGTTCTAAACCCCAGCCCGGCCGAACCAGAGGATGAGTCGCGTGCCATCTGGAACGACGACGGAGGTCTGTTCCAGGACAAGGCGAAATCCATAGATGTCATCGACAAAACTAGGAGGCAATTGGAGAAATGGAAAGGTCACAACATTGGCAAGTCACCTATGATTGGACTCGTCATAGATAGCGAACTTCCTCCCTCAGCCGATATATACATTAACCTCGAATACCATAGGGCCGGCGGGCCAAAGCGGGAAGACTCGAGTACGGTCATGTTTGACGGGTATCCAGTATGGCCTCTGGTCAATCACTTCATAGTCCAACGTGCTGCTGAGAACACGACGAAGTGAACGCCGGAGAGCCGGGTATTTGCACTGCGTGGCCATATCTAGCAAAGAAAGAAGTAATATATATCGAATTACTCGGTCCTCTTGAGCTGTCCCTGTGGTTTAACTATCCGCCCTTCACTCGGCCATCTGGACAGAGAATCGTCATGGCACTTTGGCGATGCCATCTCGCCCGCCAGGCCTCGGGTGCCAAGAAAACCCTTAGCCGAGGCCCATCGCCAGTTATTATGGCCCAGTCGGGTTTTTCTGGAAACCCCAAACCCCCCCACCTACTTCTCTAACCACGATACTCCGCTGCGACCACTCCACCCACAGTCGGTCAGGTGTAAGGGCGAGATGGAAAAAGGGTAGCATGTAGACATAGCTAGCATCGATTCAACACCACGTAGGCAGAGTTCAATTGGGGTCGCGGGAAATCTCCACTCGACCCTCTCACTTGACAATCACTTCAGCGCGACACATGTCTGGTGGTGTAATGGTTGATGGTCGTCGGGAAATTGTGGCGCCTAGCAGAAGGCGGGGCACTGTAGATACCGCTTCGACCCTGTGTGAACAAACTTGTCGAAAACTACCCACTCATGCTTGATATTGATCAAAGCGCTACCGGGATGCAGAGCCGCATGGTTATTGTGGTGTACGGTGCGGTAGAGGTCCTCCTTGTTTTCCATAATTGCTGCCTTTCGGCCTGGGTCGCGGATGGCATCATTGCAGAACAGGCTGCGAGCCAGTGCCTTGCGGCTTTCGTGCGGCCGTTCTCGCCCGTAAGATCCATGTCGTAATCGCCTCAGAGAGCTTTTGGGCAATCTTCATCAGTTGCGTGTGTAGGCGAATGTAGTCCTCGAGGGCACGGCGGTTAAGGAACCGCTTGCGATACCACACGTCCTCGTGCCCGGTCTGCTTGACTTTGGTGTATGTATGGTGAAGAGTGTTGAGCTGCACAATGTGGTCCGACGTGGCAGAGGTCCTCCTTGTTTTCGATGATCGGGCCATTTCCCTTTGCTACCTTCTTGCCTGGATCGCGGAAGGCGGTGTTGCAAAACAGGCTGCGGGCCAGTGCTTTGCAGCTCTTGTCGGTGTACTGCTTATCCTCGAAGCCCGTGCCTATGACTGGCCCAAAGAGTGTTTGTGCGGTGGCAGTCATGTGTGTGCGGAGGCCGACGCGCAAGAGGGCACTTTCCCTCAAGATCAAGATCTCCCAGCTCAGCATCTGAAGCAGGAAGGGGAGATTGTTCCCTCAACGACCTTGACGACCATAGAGGGCGACCTGACGCACGCAACTACGAAACTCCCCCCTTCTGCTCCCGCGGATAAGGGAAAGGGCAAAGCCCCTATCGATTCCAGTGATGAAGTTTCCCCGCCACCCGCAAGACTTAACAGTCCTTGGGGAGCAAATACGCCCCCGTTATCCAGAGCAACGACCCCAAGGATGATTTCCATCCACCAAGCGACACATTGAGCGATGATGAGCTTCCTTCCGTTGATAGACTCGTGGGTAGACTCAGGAGTGGCAAGAAGCGGGCGAGAGCCCACTCTTCACCAACCAGGGACCATGCAGGTCCTCTGACAAGGAGACGGCGAGTTGCTGCCAATGGTGCCGGGCCTTCGTCGTCGGGAGCGGCAGCGACATCGGCCCCAACAACAAACACAACCTCGCACCCGATGCCACAGTGGTCTCCAGGTTGGGAGGAAGAGCGTTTGATACGAACGCTGAAGGAGAAATACGAGGAAGACCCAGCAGGGTTCTACCTCATCACCGACAGGTTCTTCTTGGAATGGTCACAGACCGTCCACAGGAATGGCTTCGGTGGCTACGCGGACTGGATCGATGCCAAGTTTGGAGAGTCCCAATGCTGCTCGGGCGCATTCCATGCCTTCCCTGATGCCACCCTAACCCAGTGCATCTAGGCTGTGATGGCTATCCGGCGAAGCACAAGAGATTGCATAGGATACCTGACCTGGCAGGTATCTATTCCTGAAATTTGAAGCAATGGGCAACCATGCAGAAAGAAGACGACAATCACCGAGAGGCAGGACGCTACACAACTACAGCATTCTCTGGCAGAAGGGAAGAGCACAACACACACTTGCAACTAGACATATTGCATCAATCCCCTGCACCTCTTCTCCGAGGCTATTGGAACCAACCGCGAGCGCCACATGTGCTTTAGATATGCCAAGGAAGATGCCAGCAAGGGCCTTCTAGTTTCGAAGTACTGTCAGAGGCATAACCCTCCCTGACTCCTCTAAAATGCAGTAACGCCTATCTCGTCAAGGGTATTGACGGAGTATGAGGTGCTCGGGAATATTATTCCACAAGACCTCCATCCCTAACTTAGATCGATAAAGGGGCCGCCCCTGTTGATGGATGATCTTGCGATCTTTAGATGGGACGGAGACATAAGAGTTTAAGACCGCGAGGTCGCTATGCCCCAGATTAATAGCCAGGTCATAGAAGGCAAGCCCACGCAGTTTTCATGCAGCTCTTCGAAATTCGGCCAGATCATTCGGGAGCTCATAGCATCCATGAATCCTGCAGAAGATCCATGATCGTCGCCAACCCGTTTTCACGCGTGGGCCTCTCTTTTGACATTACGTACACCATCTCAACCAAGTCAATGACGCCAGGCGCGAGCACCATAAAGGCAGACCAGTCAATCTCGCCCTCGACAAGGACGAGTGAGATGTGAAAAGAATCGAGGACGCATGGGAGTACGACAGCCCAATAACAGATACTCCCGACCAGTCCCTCTCAGCATCAAGCTCACACCAGTGAGATGCTATTGACTGGGGGTTTCACCGCTTGATCGGACCTGATCCTGAGAAGCAAGCCCAGTAACAAACCATGTCCACGATGATATCATCCCCCCGATTCGTTCTCCCATTCAGCAGGCCAACATCCACGAGGAGGACACATTTGGGTCATGTCCAAGAAGTAAGGCCTGTGGCCATGTCTGGGAGAACTTCACGAGGGTCATGTGAGGATATCATGAGGATATTGTGAGAATGCTACGAAGATTTGTGAAGATGTTATGAGGATACGGCTACGTTTCTCGGTTCGTTCTGTCGTATATGTTATACCCAGCTTGCATTGTCGTCTCACCTCGCCCCACGTTTCTACCCTCAACCCCCACCACAACCACGCTTCGCCGACCACACATTAACAAAAGACAAAAAGGTAGTAGCAAAAAGAGCAAAAAACATACAACAGCGGGGATTCGCTGGTCGTCACCGACCCAACTACTAATCCGCCCCTCACTGGCTTATCTATGGGAGAGCGGACGGGATCCCGAGTTCTCCAGTGGGTATGGTCGTATGTGGTAGGAGGTGAGGCTCAACCGGCTCATGGTGTTTCCTAGATGGCGACAAGAAGAACAGTAGTAGTTATACGATCTTTATGGCTATGGGACAGAAATTGCGTCTATTTGGCTCGCTCTAATAAACATAGGTAGGTATTCAATATTACGAACAGGTCTGCTAATGTGCTATGCCATCTTCGCCATCACAGTTACCCCTTTTCGCAAGTAGACCTGAGTGCCAAACTTCCAGACTTCATCAATTACCAGCTGCGTGATACCCTCAGTCGTCCGCTCCTCGGAAAAGATGACAAGATCAGCGTCAGCACCCACGCTTAGACTTCCTTTGCGGTCTTGAATACCAAGCATGGCTGCTGGTGTTGAAGTGACTGCCTTGAGTGCTTTGCCGATCGAGGCACCTGACCATTTGAGAAGGTTGTTTACACACTCGATCAACGTGATGGAACTAGATGAGCTCGGGTTAGTAGAAAGCCTGTGGTAGAGAGGAGGTGAAGGGCGCTGACCTTCCTGCAATCTTGTCTGTCCCTTCCAGTAATAACGTCGGCCCAACTTTTACGATCCTACTGTCCACGTCGCCGTTGGTCCAGGGATACACGGCATCTGGGAGTCCAACCAGGTGCATGGCATCAGTGACGAGAATGAAGCCTTCCGGGTGAGCATTGAAAGCGATGTTGACAGCGGTGGGATGAAGGTGAATGCCATCGGCGATGATACCAAAGTATGGCCTCGGGAGCTGGTCAGTAACGACGCCAAGTACGCCAAAGATTCCTGGATTGCGGTGATGGAGAGACCTCATAGCATTGAACAAATGTGTGATCATTGTAGCCCCAGCTGCGACTGCATCCGACGCCTCTTCGTACGTCGCCTCAGAGTGTCCAATAGAACAGACGATGCCTCGACTGGTCAGCTCAGGGATGAGCTGTGCCATGTTCCCGCGCTCCGGGGCGAGGGTGATCTTTTTTATCGGGGCGGGTTCAGAGTCTGGCTCCCCCTTTTTGCCCAGATTCTCCACGCCGTAGCAGGCTTCAATATCTTGGAAGCTGAAGGCCTCCTGGAGCACGTTGACATCATGAACGCCATTTTTTCCTGGGTTGAGGAAAGGACCCTCTACATGTGCACCCAGGGACTCTGCTCCGTCGTGGGCAAACCGAAGGCGGCTTGGACGAAGAAAAGGTAGCACCTGGAGAGACTGTCAACACATCCAACTTATCTGCGCGCACATACGGTTTCCAACCTTTTGATAGAGGATTGGCTTTTGACTGGTCAGTGTCGGGACATATGAAGTGACACCCGTAGTGGTCAACTTCTTATTCACATCCGCGACAGCCTTTGGATACTCTGTGATGTCGTCGGGCAATGTCGAAAAGTTGAAGCCGAATGCCCCATTGAGCTGGACGTCGATCAAACCAGGAGAGATGATACGGCCCCCGAGATCAATGGCGTGGTCGGGCAGAGTGCCAGAATCGAAAAAGGTGGCCTGGCTAGATAGGATAGTACCAGTGTGAGAGCTCACCCAAAGGTCCTCGGATACGAGATTGTCCCCACGGGCGAGGCGGCAGTTGGTAAACTTGGTGATACCACCCGAAGAGATGACAGAGGGCATCTTGTGTGAGACAATCGGTAGGAACAGGCGAAGGAGGAGGTGACAGGGGCGCGATGCCGTGATGCCTTCTGAGTTGGTGGTTCTTCGTATTGGAGCCGGCCAAGGGAGCAGCTTCGTCACCGTGAACGTTTATTTATTCTACCACTTGGGTTGTTGAAACTTTATGGAACTATACGTCCTAGTCTGTCCGACCTATTACATGCACAGATAGCTTCACACCTGTCAAGGTCGTCGGGCAGTGGACGGATTAGACTCATTTCCCATCCAACGTTGCGTCAGGCTTGTGGCCACTCGGCTTCTGTACCACACGCACTTGAGGCGCCATTCTTTCTTCCTAGCTGTAAGTGAAAGATTCCTGGTCTTGGGCCATCGGGATTTCCGCCGCCGTGCGGGCTTTGGTACCTTTCAAAATCCCTGGACGAAGCCTAGGTCGGGTTTTCCGCCGATAGCATTATCTGACAAACCGCGGCTGGATATCACTTTAATCCCCTAATTGAACCAAGCCTTTCTGAATCACGATGGTCCAAAAGAACTAGGAAGCTGGATATCGCGTCGGGCCCATGGGCAAAGATGTCGGCCACTTGCTCGACCTGATTATTCTTCACAGTCCAAGGTCACTTCCGGCGGAAACATTTTGCACTAGATCAAGGCTAGATATTCAAGCGTAATATCTAATTTACCGGTGCCCAAGACATGGCTCAACTTATGCAAAGGGCTTGATAGTTCTTCTACTCACTTGGAGAGTTCAAGCCCTAGTCTGAGGAAACATCGCTTATGAGTGTCGGGTCAGGGGAGGTTAAGGAACGGAACACTCAATTCAACTACATCAAAATGCGCCCCAAGACGCCTCTGCTACTGAATTCCGAGTCCTTAACCACAGCTCTCATTAAATCGCGATAGTTATCCCCTGGAGTGACGACCCCCATGATGGCAGGATCGGTCGACTCCGAGTCGGCAGCAATGGGAACCGTACGGCCACAGACCCCGAGGAAGCCTAGAACTGCAAAAAGAACAGCCTCCTTGGCGCTGGGATCTATCTTAACTGGCGCATCGTCGAGCTTCAACACTTGGCTTTTGGGAAACCGTTGCTGCAGGTGCTTGAGAATGTTGGGGTTGTAAGCTCCACCACCGCAGATGTAAATCTCGTCAATGTTCCCATCCTTGCCCAGATGTGGTAGGACGTATTGCTTGTAGGCTCTTGCGATGGACTCTGCTGTGATGCGCGTGATGGTGGCGATGATGGCTTCAGGGGTCTTGCCCGCATCTTTCAACCTGTTGACTAGGGCTTTGGCTATGTCATCGGAGAAGAGCTCACGTCCCGTGGTCTTGGGGGGCTTCAGCTGGAAGTAAGGCTCGTTGGCCAAGTAGTCATTGACAACAACAGTGTCAATGTCTGCCTCGCCCTTCGCACCTAGCTCTCCATCACGGTCGTAATGTTGTTTTCCATCGGTTAGAATGCGCATGGCAGCATCAATAAAGACATTTCCAGGGCCAGTATCGAAGGCCATGTACGTCGACTCTGACTTCTCAGGTTGTGTCGCGCTCGAGGCCGGCAGCACGGTTGCATTCCCTACACCGGGATCGTCAACAAGGGGGTTCATCGCTCCACTGTGAGGCTATACACACCTATTCCTCCGATGTTCTGGCTAATGCGTGTGACCTTTGGGTCAGAGAGTAGAGCTGCTTCAAAGAAGCCTGCCAACGGGGCACCCTGGCGTCCAGCAGCAAGCTCGGCGACTCGAAAGCCGCTCACAATAGTCCTGATCCTTTTTAGCAAGCAAACAACAGTGGTCTTCCATATTCGAAAGTCCGTACCTCCCCGTTTGACGAGCAATCACAGCAGGCTCGGCCATCTGGAGTGTAGATCGATGCTCGCCTAGTGGTTGATGCCATAGAGTCTGACCATGACTGGCGATGATGTCAACCTCTGATAGATCAACACCGGATTCCTTGACGGCGCGAGAAAATTCACGACCGAGTGCAAAGTTGAGATCGCAGACCTCGGCCATCGACGTGGCCGCGCCCTCTTGGTTGGGACGGCATAGGCGAAGGACCTGAGACCGTAACTCAGGGGTTACGGGGACTTCGGTGTATGACAGGACTTGCACCCTTATGTCGTTTGAAGAGTCTACTGAAGAAATTCGACAGTACGCAACATCAACGCCTACAAGCTTGTCAGCATGGTCGTGTTTTAGAGGGGACGCACATACCGTCGATGCTGGTGCCACAGTTGAGCCCGAGGACCTTGAGGGTGACCATGTCGCTTGTTTAGTGACGGAATATTTAGGTCAAGCCAATCAGATAATTCACAAACAGAGACTCAAATACAAAGACCTGAGGCTCAGTTATGCAGCAAGCACCCAGCCTTTAAAGGTCTAGGTTAAGGCGACCTCCCAGTGTGTTTGCGTGAAGCCCGATTCTCCCAACGATGTACTTGGCACATCAACTGCATATTCCATGCAACCTTGAACAGGCCAAGTCACTCTGGCGTTGCCACAAGGATGAGGATGGCGGCTACTTTGTCTGGTGTCTTCCCCGCGCAACGGCTTCTCCGCGGGTCCCAAACCCCTCAACAAGCGGAAAACCCGACGGCTGCGGATGTTAGCGACGACATTTGACGGGGTCAGGGATCTGCCTTTTCACCTTATCTACGCGCAAAAGGCGACTGTGTCAAGTTTCTTCCTGCATCTAGTCCCATGTTGATGCTACAACCCCAGGTAGCTAGAGTTTGTCACAAGCTGCCGTCCAGTGTTCTTAGTTGCAAAGACTTGTATAGGACAATGAAAGTGCTCTACTCTATGCAGTTTACTCTATATACAGACCCATGAAAAAGAACAGCAATTACCCTAGTGTCAATCGGTTAAGTTTCCCTGCAGGGCTTGTCTTAACGAGCCTGAGGCAGCCCCTAGCTTAGCCCGTCCTTCGGCGGGCGAGCAGCCCAGAGTCGCCACGAGAATACTGAGCTTGACCTGACCGTCGCAATCAGCGAGCACGGCATCCAGGACCTCTTCACTCTCGATATCGAGAGCCGATGATGGAGGGACCACCATTCGGGCAACCCGGCGGGCCCGGTTCTGCAGCTTCTCGTTGGACATTTTCAAGTCGACCATCTGTCAAGGTTAGATTTTGTATACGTGTTGAATCTCAGGAATCGCTCACCAAGTTTCCAAACGTCTTTCCTGTGCGAATTTGAGAGCCCGTCGAGATCATGTTGAGAATCTGCCGAGTAATGATGAGTTGGTGGGACAGAAAACAGACAAGACAGGGTAGAGAATATGCACCATTTTTGTTGCAGTGCCCGCTTTCAGTCGAGTGCTGCCCGTCACAACCTCAGGTCCTGTAACACACTCAATCAAAACATCGCAAAGGGACCTGAGCAAGCTGGGCTTGACGCATGCCAGACCGACCGTGGCAGCTCCGATAGAGCGGGCGTACTTCAAGCCGCCCAGCACATATGGGGTTCTCCCTGAAGAAGCGATTCCCACCAAAGTGTCGTCCTTGCTGAGCGGCGGCGTAAGTTCTGCCAGGTCTGTTGCTCCCAGCTCTTCCGAGTCTTCGGCGCCTTCGACAGCGTTTCGGATCGCGTAATCTCCTCCTGCAATTAGGCCGACGAACTGTCCAGGAGGGGCCGAGAATGTAGGGGGACTATCACTGCTCAGTTGCTGATAACTTGAGGTATGAAGAGAGGTGGTATTCACATTTCTGAGGCATCAAGAATGCCCAACCTAGAGGTCAATCAATGTTGGAGGGAATTTTCAAGCGAAACTCAGCTCAGGCTTGCGCTCTTACCTCCCACTTGTCCCTGCCCCGGTGTAGATGACTCGGCCACCACTCAAGAGTCGAGGCACAATAATATCAATAGCATCAGCAATCTGAGGAAGGCAGGTCTGAACTGCTTGTGCGACCGAGGCATCCTCTTCGTTGATAACGCCTAGGTTGTTAATCATCAGTATTTTGCTGCGCTTCCTGAGGGAGTCGAACTTACGACATAGTTCTATAGAACTCATGGAATCAATATTTGTTGTTTTCGAATTCTTCTGCTCCGTCTGGAGGCCCGCGAGACTCTCTGCAAGCGAGAAGGTGCCGTTTCTGGACTTCACGGCCGTAAAGCTGCCATGTCCATTGTGGCCATTCACAAGACCTTGGCTTTCGGGCGAGGCCTCGCATACAGCTGAAGGAGACATGCTAAAAGAAGTGTGGGTAAGGAGAAGGCAACGCGCGGAACCGAAATATGCGTCTTCCGTTTGTTATTAGCGGTCTGTAGATGAAAGTGAAAAAGATATCAAATATCAAAGAAAGCTACAAGGACACTCAACTACCCCCAAGCGAGCGAGGTCGCTTTCCGGAGCCCTGAGACTCCCGGACTAATCTGCCTCTTCCGACCCTACATAACAATGTGATCCTTGTCAGCCGCATGTTGAGCGGGATGGATTCGTCAATATCAAAAAGGTGCCTCATCACCATGTCGGGTTATCCGCTGCCGCCCTCGGAAGGCGGATGCAACCACGCCAACATACGACTCCACAATGGAACGGTCAACTGAGCTAAAGTGGACCGGACAAGGACCCCTGAGAGCATACACGACAGATGAGAACTCCGTCGGCTGGGCCACTGTTCTTCATGCGGAATTATTCGCTAGAGAGAAGCCCCCAGCCGGTAGCAGTTAGAGACCTGGAGAGAGGAAGCCTTGGCCTCGAGTAATGCAAGGTTCCGTCCCCATAACCTCGGAATTCAGCTGTTCCCACCACCCTCTCCGCGCTAGGATTTAGTTTGCGGGGTTCAAACTGGGGGAGGGTGGTTAGGTATCTGTGCTCCAATCCGTTCCAAGATAAGGTGGTAAGCCGCAAGTTTACTCTAACTTGATAACAGGCCTTCCCCGGATGCGAGGCCAAGTTGTCGGTTCCTATTAAACCCACGCGAGCTGCCAGACGGCCTGTCTGTTCTTGACGCTCTTTATCCCATTCATTCAGTCAACATTTCAAGTATCCCTGAGTCTTTCCCAGCTTTGCTCAAGGACAGTCTTTCAATTATCAATTCATCATGGGCGAAGGTCTTCGCAAGCTCCGCATCGCCGTCTGGGGCGAGGCGCCTGACACCCCTGAGGAGCGCAAGGTCAGCATATCCATCCATGGACATAACTCTATAGCGAGCAAGGGCATCGTGGACTGATGGCCAATTATAGCTTCTGCAAAAGGTCGACTTCTTCATTCTGGTATGTGACTGCTTGTTAGGTTGGATTGAAAACTCTTCTCATCCTGACTCTAGACGTACTGCTGTGTGGCATTCTTCTTCAATTACCTCGGTGCGTCTTTCGGACCTTGCAGAATAGCTCCTTTGACTAATACCATATAGACCGCGCTGTTCTGGGCAATGCGTATGTCTCGGGAATGAAGGAAGACATCAACCTTACGGGTGACGAGTACAACCTCTTGGTCACCTGTCTCGCTGTTGGCTGTAAGTTCTCGGCAGGCGGAAATGATAGGGCCACCTGCTAACATGGAAAAGACATCATCGGCCAGGTTCCTCACGGTCTTGTCATCCAGAAGGTCGCCCCTCGCATCTGGTTCCCCCTGATGACTCTCGTCTGGGCCGCCTTGACCATGGTTTGCGGCGCCTGCAATAACTTTTCCCAGCTTGCTGCCGTGCGTTTCTTTCAAGGTATTGCCGAGGCTTCAACGTACAGCGGCACACAGTATATCATTGGAAGTTGGTACAAGGGCCCCGAGGTCGGAAAGCGAGTTGGACTTTTCCAGGCTTCGGGCATGGTCGGCACCATGTTTGCCGGTATGTTGCACTACATGCTAGATATAAGGCTATTCTAACATAATCTACTAGGTATCTTGATGACAGCTATCTGGAAGACTATGGACGGAGTTTCAGGTTTGCCTGGCTGGCGATGGGTGAGGCTTGATCCTTATCCCTATGTCATCTTGATTTGCTAAACGAAACCGACAGTCTTTCATCATCGACGGCATTATCACCATTCCCGTGGCAATTTTCGGCTTCATGTTCTTCCCTGACCTTCCCGAAACGACCCAGGCCTTCTACCTCAAGCCTCACGAGCGTGAGCTCGCCTTGAGCCGTCTGCCACCTAAGAACCCAGAGGGTCATAAGATTGGAGTCTCTATCATCAAGAGAGTCTTACTGACTCCTAACTTGTGAGCATTGCCCCCCCCCCCCCCCCCCCCCTACTGTGTGCGAGCCTATACTGATATATGGTCCAGCTGGATTTTCACCGTCTTTTGGATGCTCGGTGGTGCTCTCGAGGCCTACTCGACCCAGACTTGCATGGTTCTATGGATGAAGGCTTCTGGCTTGTTTACTGTGCCGCAGAACAACACCTACCCTCTTGGAATCACCGCAATCGGTATGTTGCCAGATCAATAAATCGTGTTCATTACATCTAAAACGCCTCTAGGTATTCTTCTCACGCTGTGCACCTCGGTGGCAATTGACGCGACGGGAGTTCATGCCCCCTATGGTTTCATCGCCTGCGGTGTTCAGATCATCACGTGTGTCGTCCTTCTTTGCTGGGATATGGTCGGCACGGCAGCAAAGATGGCAGCCTTCTGTACGTTTCCTAAACCCCTTCCTCGAGTCAAGTTTGTGTAGCTGACTGATGTAGACCTTGCTGGAACTGCCTATTTGATTCAGCCAGTCGTCTTCACCTGGGCCAACAAGGTTCTGGCCCGAGATGGAGATGATGCTGCACGAGCCGTTATTCTCTACGCCATGAATGGCAAGTGTATCTTGATTTAATTGTTGACATCTGCTAACGATACACAGGTGCCTCCTCCGTACTCTTCTCTTTCTGGGGCATCACACTGTATCCCGTCAAGGACGCAGCTACTGTGAGTTGTCCGTTTCCCCAACCCCATAACCACATGCTGACCGGAGGAAAAAGGGTTTCCAAAAGGGCACCATCGCCATGGTAGTTGTTTCTGTCAGTCTCGCGGCATGGATTGGCGTCGTGTGGTGGCAGGACAGGAGAACCGCCCGGATGTTTTCGGAGCACCCCGTCCTAGACTCCAAGATGGAAGAAGGAATCGAGGAGATGCCTGAAAAGGAGCGTAAGGAGCTCTGATGTGGCTTGCTTCGGATGTTGCACATCCTTGCCTATGTACATCCAGGCTGTTGATGTGGCGATAAGTGAGAGCAGGGCGATTGGGCTTAGGAACTTCTTCGACTTGACGATTGCAGATGACCTTTATACAAGGGTATGCAGCAGCAATATTTACGGACCTATAATGGAGTTACTTTCTCTAGAGATCTGATGCTATTTACCATGAGCATACGACTCTTCCCTTTTCTTGGACGGTGAAAATAGAAGGGCAATTGCAACAGGAAAGCTCCTTCAAATTCCTTCGAGTTAGCACATCTTTTCGACTATCCAAGACAATGCAACGATATGCCAACAGACAAGCTCTAGCTATTCTCGAGCATCTTCATGATCTCCTGGTTGCTTATAAACCAGTTCGCTAGCAGTCCCCCCGATGAGTCGACTTGTGCTCCAAGATTAGCGAATAACTGATCCTCCCCTGGTTGTAGTGTGGCTGCTTCAGTTACAGCCCCCTGAATCCCGGGAGCTGCTGAGCTGTAGTCCATCGCATCAGCCACGAAAGTCCCTGTGGTGGGAATGGAGGAAGCTCCTGTGACACTGTGGCTCTCGGTACTAGGAAAAACACCCTCCCCTGATAGACTGTCCTGTTGGAGGTTGATGAATCGGACCGCCACACTGTACAATGCTTGGAAAAGCCGCAGTTGATTCCGGGTTGAGGGATGGCGCGCAGTGTATGTTGCTCCCTCACTGGCGTCGATAAACCTCTTCAAAGCGCCGAGATCGGATGCGTTTGAAGATTCGATGATGTGACAGAAGAGGATGGTGAACGGTATGAAGGGCGACCGTAGAAGGGACCTGTGCCAATGGTGAGCTTTTGAGTAGTTGATCTCATGAATGAGAAGTCTTCTTACCAGCCTATAAATAGTTCAACAAAGCGCGTCTTTGTACCGCCACTCTCGATCAGGGCCATACACTGTTGGTGTTCTTCTAGAGCATCCCGGCAGCTGCTGATGCACTCCTCCGAGAATGACGACTTTGAAGGATCGGCAGTAGGGAGGCTTCGATGGATCAGTATTAGCATAGACAAATTGCAAATATGGTCTGATCGCCATAGAATCTGAGTAATAAGCGGTTGGCCAGTTGCCGCAAACTGTGCCCCATTCTCTTTCTGGATCCATGAGTTAGTATCTGTCATGAAGGAGTATCATCACAAACCTCAATTGCATCTTCAGCCTCCATGAGCAAGTGGATCTCCGAGAGAAGGGTGCGTGCCCGGGCATATCTAACATGCTCAGGCTGCAGGAAAGCTCCAGGGCTGTACACGTCGTCGTAGATCCGCCCTTGCACATACCCGCCCTCGATCCATATAGGCAGCAGTCTGTTAATCAACAAGTCGGGTCCGGGATTTCGCTGTGGCCGAGGGACAGTTATATCATTGTCTCGGAATGATGATGACCGTCCGATGCGCAGGGCAATCCATCTATCCGAGCAATATACGAGCCAGAATAATCGGAGCTTCCTCCGTTGCTGGACCGGAGGCTCAAGAGAGAGGGTTGTAGAGCGGTGCAGACCGAGGGCCTGACAAATGTGGGATGCCGTGACGATAAAACCCCATGCGGCAGATGTCTTGGTCGTCTGAAGACAATAGGTTGCCTGGAGTATGTCAGCCAACGAAACGTTGTCGAGTCATGTCGAACTCACGGCCATGTTGAGGGCGTATGCCGTGTTTAGGGTGCTTTTTATATGGAACCCTAGGTGAGCCAAGACTGTCTCGAGGTTTTCTCGGCACAAGGTCGCCTGAGCCTCGAAATCAAGCCTGGTCACTTCATCATCGGCTACACTGGCACATTCGAGGAACAACCAGTACAGGCCAGCATTTGCAATAATGATCTCCTCCTCAGATGCAGGGCCAGGAGCACAGGCCTTGATCGCATATTCGGTGAAATGGCTGAGATCTTCGAACTCGGCGATCCACATGGCGTCGACCTTGTTGCTTTCTGTATTTAAATCAGTCCTCTACCTCAACATTAGGGGGTGCCCAGAATTGTGTCTACCTTGAGCCATCTTCAGGCATGCGAAGACGCTATTCAGTGGCGGCGACGGGAATGACGTGGGCTTTCTCCCATCTTCCAGCGGTCTGGCATAAGGGAAGAGCACCTCAACAGGATCGTTGGTCTGTTTTTGGGCATTGGCAATGCTGTTCAAGGTTTGTATCACCGGGCCCATCTCCGTCGTGACATGGAATGAGGAGCTGCTCCCAACGGCGTTCTGGAAAAAGGAAGTGGCGAACAGGACATGCGCGAATGGAGATGACTCGCCAGTGTACTCGGTCGGCGGCACCGTGGGTGCGCTGGCAGGGCTTGCACCGAGGGTCTGAACAGATGCTGGCCGATGTTGAGAAGATGTTGGGAACGAGGTCGTCGGAGTAGCATGGCTCCTCGAGGACGCAGGCGCCTCCTGTGCGGGTGATGGACATGAGGGACGTTGTTTGCTGAGATCCGCCACCATGATTTTTAGCTCATCCACAGTCCGAGCGATGTGGTCAACACTTTTCTCGCTTTGTAGAGGTGAGAAACTGGCTAGTTACAAGGAAGAGGTGCTTGTAGCTCACATGTCGTTGGAGAGTGTGACGCGTTGCCTGCGGACTCTCGACTTGAGGCCTAGGGTATAGGCGCATGATGCTCCCGCTGTGGTGCATTGCTCACAGGGCTGACCTCGACCACATTTCACCTGTGGAAGGTATCAGAAAGCTTCTCTTGGATGGAATAAAGGGATGAAAACATGACGGAGACGGAACTCACCTTTCTTCGACGGCATCGGTCGCACTGGTCTTGTTAGCATTCACATGGGAGTAATTAGGATTGATATCGGGCTTACAGCAAGCAAGAACTCCGTCACACCCTCCTTTTCTTCGTTATGTCCCGGGCTGTCGTCATCCTGGATTTTCTGATCCATCGTAGATGATGTTTCGGAGCCTCGGAGCATCCGTTGTTGAATAAATGATGAAGGAGAGAAACCGTCCTGCTCTAATACTGTGGGCGGGGATCGGAGGCACCGGCTCTCCGAAGATCGAGGCTTATGTAATACAGATTCTGTGTTAATGATGACCGGAACTTCGGAGCGCGGGGTCTCCGAGCTCCGCAGAATCCTCCAACCCAGGACGGAGTGGACAATATTCTTGTAATTTCGACAGTCATTGATTATGGCCACTCTTCGCAAATATAAGGAGGCAATAGCCCCCTTGCAAACTTTTCGAATGCTGCCTTGTCACCTGTGCCAGACTCCCTGTTCCCGAGCAGGTTCTATGCAAGCCGACGACACCATTGACGGGCACACATTCGACCACCACGATGGGAGAAAAGGACTCCGAAAAAAAGAAAGCAGGGATTGGAACGAACGATGGAGAAGAACAAAGCCCTTCCGCATTCAGGGCCTATCTTGTGAGTAAGCTTCGCTTTTTTCGTGACATGATCTAATTGTCCGTAAGAGGGTCTTCACGTATGGCGACAAATGGCTTTACACTCTCGAATTCATCGCCGTGATCGCCGCAATTGCTGCTGGCGTTGCCTTGGCCATGGTAAACGTTGTACTCGGCAACTTTGTTACGCTTCTCAGCGAGCCTCTGACTTCCGAATCCGCTCGGGCAGACTTCATGTCCCGGGTAAGGACCTCTGCGTAAGATACTCCCGATCCCTATTCTCCTCGAAACGAAGACTAACCCTCGAAGACTGCGTTTCGTCTACATTGGAATCGCTCGCTTTGCAGGCACATATATATACTCATCCCTCTTCACATATGTGGCCCACCGATTCACACGGAACATCCGCTGGAGGTACCTCCACTCGGCTTTCAGCCAAGAGATTGCCTTCTTCGACCAAGGATCCAGTGGTTCAATATCCATGCAGACGACTTCAAGTGGCAAGCTGATCCAATCGGGTACTGCTGAAAAGCTCGGGATGTTTGTACAGGCCGTATCCGCCTTCATCGCCGCCTTCGTGGTGGCCTTTATCACCCAGTGGAAGTTGACCCTGATCACCTCTTGCATTGTTCCGGTGGTCATTCTCATCTGTGGAGTTGTATCATGGATCGATGTCTTGGTTGAAACAGGCATTCTAAAGGTATATGGCATGGCTGGCGGCTACGCTGAGAGCACTCTTGGTGGGGTGCGTGCTGTTCAAGCTTTCGGCCTTCGCCGACGTCTCGTCGCCAAGTATAAGGAATACTTGGAGGACGCTTACAATCGCGGCATGAAGAAGAATGTTCTGTATGGGTTCGCCTTTGGTGGTGAATATTCGGTCTTGTACTGCGGAATGGGCCTGTCCTTCTGGCAGGGAGTCAGAATGCTTAGCAAGGGTGAGATTGCAAGCATCGGCACCGTCTTCACGTAAGTCACCCAATCATCCTTTGGTATCATACTTCTAACCGAGATATAGGGTTGTGTTTTCTGTCATTGTTGCGGCCCAGACAATCACATCAATTGTCCCACACCTTCTCGTCTTCAATCGAGCCGCCAGTGCTGCGGTGGAGATGTTTAGTCTCATCGATCGGGAGTCGTCCATTAATCCCTTTGACGAATCAGGCGAGAAGCCTGACAAGGTTCAAGGGAATATCGAGATCAAGGGTGTCCAATTTAGTTACCCTAGCCGACCCGATGTCACAGTCCTGGACAACTTCACCCTCACAGTACCAAAGGGCAAAGTTACTGCGCTTGTGGTAAGTCCTGCAGATGACCCATGCGCGAAGACAATTCTGACAAGAGAAGGGACCAAGTGGCTCTGGAAAGAGCACCATCATTGGCCTCTTGGAACGCTGGTATAATCCAACCCAAGGCACAATTACCCTCGATGGGCGGGACATCAAGGCCCTAAATCTCAGATGGCTAAGGACCAACGTCCGTCTCGTGCAGCAGGAGGCAGTTTTGTTCAGCGGAAGCGTGTACGACAACATTGTGACCGGCCTGATAGGGACAGCTTGGGAAGATGCCCCCGTCGAGGAGAAGAAGAGACGGGTAGAGGATGCTGCAAAGCTGGCATTCGCGCATGACTTTGTTACCGCGCTGGCCCAGGGATACGATACCACCATTGGTCAAAGGGGTGGCCTCCTTTCAGGCGGTCAGAAACAGAGGATTGCGATCGCTAGGAGCATCATCTCTAACCCCAAAATTCTCCTGCTCGACGAAGCGACAAGTGCCCTCGATCCACAAGCTGAGCACATTGTCCAACAAGCGCTGGACAATGCTTCGAAGAACCGGACCACCATTACGATCGCCCACAAGCTCGCCACGATTCGCGGGGCAGATAACATCGTCGTCATGTCACACGGGCGCATCTCCGAGCAGGGTACTCATGAGCACCTCGCTACTGGTGGTGGATTGTATGAGAAGCTCGTTCGAGCTCAAGACCTTGCACCATCAAACGATCCTGAGAGCGCCACAGCCAAAGACGATGACACGAGCGATACGGAAGATGCAATTCCGGTTGCTCTTACCAAGACTCCGACGAGGGAAGCAACGGCGCTGCAGGCTCTGAGACACCGCGAGGACTTTGATCACTACAAGCCTTTGGGACTGATTCGCTCCGTTGCGAAGTTAATCTCCATGACACCGGAACTAGCGGTCTGGTATTTCGTTGCGATACTCACCTGTATTGCAGGCGGTAAGTCTACCTTTGATAGAAATTCGAGTGCTCATTGGAATTGCTGACCCATGAATCTTAGCTGCGATTTTCCCTGGACAAGCCGTATTGCTAGCCAAGATCTTGGACGCATCAACATCAAGCAACATGGTGTCCCGTGGCAACTTCTTCGCCCTCATGTTCTTCATCATGGGCCTTGGTAGCTTCGTCGCCTACTTCATCATGGGCTGGGGCACAAACATCATTGCCCAGACGCTGAGCAGAAAGGCCCGCCTGGAGCTTTTCGACCAGGTCCTCAAGCAAGATCTGCGATTCTTCGACCGACCCGAGAACGCCGTTGGTGCGCTGATGAGCCGGCTAGACTCGTACCCGCAAGCCATCTTGGAACTCATGGGTATAAATGTTGGACTTGTTGTTCTGGCTGGCATTAATGTCCTCATCAGCTCTGTGCTGGCGTTGGCCGTATCTTGGAGAGTCGCTGTTGTTGGTGTGTTCGTGGCTCTCCCGCCGATGATTCTCGCTGGTTATTCAAGAGTTCGGCTCGAAGCAAAGGTCGATGCTGGAATGTCCAAGAGATACGCTGCCAGCTCAGCTGTGGCTTCGGAGACGGTCATGGCCATCAGGACAGTTTCTTCGCTTGCCATCGAACCGAGTGTTCTGGCCAGTTATGCTCATGAACTGGATACAGCCATCTCAACTTCTGTTCCAGGGCTGTTCCACATGATGATCTGGTTTGCTCTGACGCAGTCTATTGAATTCTTTATGCTAGGATTGGGATTTTGGTCAGTTGAACCATTACTTGCTGGGTCTTTGACTAACAGGTTGTGCAGGTGGGGATCCAAACTCATCAGTGAGGGCAAGGTCACATTCTACCAATTCATTGCGTCGTTCATGGCAGTGTACTTCTGCGGCCAGGGCGCGGGGCAGATGTTTGTGTACTCGAGCAGTAAGTGCTATTGATCTCTTCGCATCGCCTAGACTGACGTTTGGTAGGCTTCTCCAAGGCTGTTCAGGCTGCCAACTACTACTTCTGGATGCTGGATCTGGAGCCCGAGATCACCGAGAGTGACGAAAATCGCGATGTTGGACCCGCGAAGGGCTGCACTTCCCTGCAGTTTGAAAAGGTCAAATTCTCGTACCCCTTGGCTCCCAACATCAAGGTGCTGAAAGGGGTATCGCTAGATGTAAGTGTCTCTACCATGGTTAGCGGGCCCCCAAGCTAATGACTGTGTGCAGATTCGACCCGGAGAGTTTGTGGCATTTGTTGGCGCATCAGGTTGCGGAAAGAGCACAATGGTCTCCTTGCTTGAGCGGTTTTACGACCCGACAAGCGGAAGGATTGTTGTTGACCAGGCTGAGGCTCTCTCATCACTCAACCCACGCCTTTACCGGCAACAAGTTGCACTGGTCCAGCAAGAACCGACTCTGTTCCCGGGATCCATCCGGGATAACATATCCCACGGAAAAGATGACGAAAATGTGGCTTCGGAGGCTGAGATAGAGGAGGCTTGCAGGGCAGCTAACGCCTGGGAATTCGTCATGTCCCTCCCTGAAGGCTTGAACACACCCTGTGGCGAAGGTGGTAGCCAGCTCTCGGGCGGACAGAGGCAGCGCGTTGCGATTGCACGAGCCCTAGTCCGGAAACCAAAGGTTATCCTTCTGGACGAGGCGACCAGTGCTCTGGATACCGAGTCCGAGAGGGTGGTACAGAAGGCTCTCATGGAGGCAGCGGCGGGAGACCGCATCACAGTTGCCGTGGCGCATAGGCTGTCGACTATACGAGGTGCGGACCGTATCTTTGTCTTCTACGGAGGCGATGTAGTCGAATCCGGGACACATGAGGAGCTGATCGGTCGAGGTGGGATGTACGCAAAGATGTGTGAGGCGCAGAACCTGGGGGTTTAACACTGACTGTGTGCGATATTGGAATGTTGGTGTACACTCCCACGCGGGAGGGCTTTTTTCCTTTCTAATAAAGATAGAACTCTTGCTGGGATTGCTGTTAAGGGGACAACTCTATGTATCAAAATTCTTCAGATAGACTTTACTCAGATAGAACTGTACTAATATGTCACTCTACTCAGATAGAAAATACTTCACCTACACTCTTCTCCCAATTACGCTCATCCGCCAACTTGCGCATCACATCGGACAAAGAGTCGCAGTGCCCATCAACCTCGATGGCATTCATCTGTGCTGTGTCCCACGAAGCAATGAAATATAAGTTTACAGAGTCAATCATGAAGGCATTCCAAAAGAATCCGCTGTCGAATATGTCAGTTAGAGAATAGCGTTCGTAAGTGGTGAGTGTCTGCTTACCAGTCTGGCCAGTCGTAGCGAGCAATCGGCTCAAGCGTAGTAAAGTCTGACTGATCTCCTCGTGCCAGGCTCATAGCCATCGAGACATCCCAGACAAATGCCTGTCTGAAGGATGCTTCGACGGCCGCATCGCCTTCGTCTCTCAGAGCTTGAACAACCTTGTTCCAAGGAGCATGTTCATGTTCCCTGATCTGTTCTTGCTCCATGTCCATTCTCTGTAGAAACTCTAATATTGTCTCATGGTGGACAACTTCAGCCATGTTCAATATCCACTGAACAGTTGGGCCGTCGATGCTCATTGCTGGCGGGAGAAGCTTCTCCATCCAACTAGGGACGAATGGCCAGGAGCGTCCGCTTTCCCAGATATTGAGCAAAGCATGAGATGAGCCAGTTTGTAACACATTGAAGAGAATGATGGCACTCTTGGCAAAGAGAGATGGATGTATGCCATGCCTCTCCTTCATGCTGGCCAGGCCCGGCAGAGCAATGACACGACCAGAGCGAGGATACTGGAACTCGTGAGCGCGCGTGTCCCATTTGCCGGACCATATTCTGTCGCGTATTCGAGAGCGTTCTTTCGTATGTGGCCCACCTTCGTCGCTGCATATCATCATGCCAGGTGCTCTTTGGGGAGGCCACAAGGCGCGATTGAAGCGTGAGATACCTCGGAGTCGCTTGACGTGAAATGAGACACTCTTTCGTGCAGGCTCGCTCTCCTCGTACTGACTGAAAAGGTCTGAAAAGAGTCGGTAGGGAGTAAGAGCAGGAATGCTGACGTTGATGTCTTGGATCCAACGATCCAGCTCGTGATGCCATTGGGTGAGGGAGAGGGCATCAATGACGGAGTGGTTAAAGGTGAAGCAGAGATAAATCTCTCCTGAATTGACTTTGATCAATTCACCTTGAAACATGAATGGCGACGAATGACCTTGCGCCGTGTCGTCTTTAAAGCGCCTCCAAGCTTCATCCTCGGTATTGACAACAACCTCACGAACAATCTCCGCAAACAGCGCATCACTAGGTGAAAGCACAGCGTGAAACGGTGCCCCGTCGGAACTAGGGAACACAATGGTCCTCAGCATAGGTCGCGAAGCCAGCGCCCTCTCGACAGCGCGCCGAATCTGTTCCTGCTGCGCAACGTTACCGACGACGCGGAAGACCATGCGGCTGTGGTAGGACTGCGGGCGCGGCCCAATGGCCGTCCGATGTAAAGAGTCTCTGATGGGGAGGATGTCTTCAATGTCCGAGGCTGAGAGGCCAGCGTGGATGACAGCCTTTCGGGCTGCGGTGAATATTTTGGTGTCTTTGGGGAGAGTTTGGTCTTGTCTTGGGGATGGGGGGAGATGGGGTTGGTTGAGGGGTTTGGATGGTGTTGGAGTGTTGGAGGTGATACCAAGACGGAGCTGCTGCATTTCTCGAGATAGGAGAAGATGCGCTTGCTTCTCAACTGTGTCGTTCTCTGCAAAGTCTTGCAAGTAAAGCCGCTGGCCGCAAGCACGCAGGACGTTATCACAGTAGCGGAGTAGAGTGATGCTATCGGCCAGATACTTGACGCTCTCGGTGATGGTCGGACGAGTGCCTGTCAATTTGTCCCAGATGTCGAGGAGCTTGTCGACAAATGATTGTGAAGGTGCTTTGGTACTGGGCTGTGGTTGCTGTGATTGACTTTTCTGGCGGAGGTCCAACACTCTCTTCTTCAACTCTTGCTTCTTTACTTTGCCGAGGGCTGTTATCGGGAATGCCTTGAGACCAAGTTCCTCAAGAGTGTAGACTTCATCCAGAGCGTATCTTGGATCTGCGCTTCTGGCCTTTTCGCTCACTTGAGCTTTGGTAATGCCTTCGGGCAAGACGACAATAGCGACTGGTACTTGACCAGCAAGATCATCGGGTACTCCAACGACCTGGACCTGTTGACTGTCAGCGTTGATCCTTCAAAAGTGCAAGAAACCTACCTGTATTCCATCAATCTCTTGCAGCTTCTGCTCAATCTTTGCAGGGTAGATGTTTTCTCCTCCTCGAATGATGAGGTCCTTATATCGACCGAGGATATATATCACACCCTTCTCATCTATTCGTGCTTGATCTCCCGTCATCAGCCAGGACCCCGTTTCATCTCTGTACATTGTGCTGTCATTATCCCTGTCCAAGTACTTTGTGATGACAGACGTCCCGCCAATGTGCAACTCTCCAATCTCCAATCGAGGTAGTATCTCCCTTGTTCCAGGCCTACAAATCCTCACAGCAGCACCAGGCAGAACTTTTCCAACTCCTGGATGCCATCCATCAACTAGATCAGGGTCTGTTCTCTGCCATGTAATAACAGGAGCTCCTTCACTCATACCATACACTTGAATGGCACACTTGGCACCCAGCCCCTGACGACATAGACGTATATCCTCAGGTCCAATAGAGGTCCCACCAATGGTAACAATCCTCAGATCAAGCTTCTCAACGGCTGGAAATGAAGGGTGCGCCATCAGAGCCTTGACCAACGTGGGCGTCGCCGACATGACGGAGCATTGCTCCCGCACGAGGGCGTCGAGGGTCGCATCGACGTTGAAGGTCCTCGAGGGGAACACGGCCGTGCCACCCCAGCGCCATGCGCGGAGGGAGTTGTTGATGGCAAAGATGTGTGAGACGGGTGTGTGGACGAGCCACCTCAGCGGTCCCATGGTGTTGACCTCTGGGTCAAAATCGCAGCATTGGGACACAAGGTTGCGGGTTGTGTGCCAGCATCCTTTTGGTTCGCCGGTCGTACCGCTGGTGAAGACGATCAAAGCTGCCTGATCGTCGTTTTCATACTCTTCAATGCTGTCTGTAGCATTGGAGATGAAAGCCGAGGCGACTTGATGTTGAATAGTCGAAACACGGCATAGCTTAACCCAGCCATCAACATTCTCCCCTGTACATAAGATGCAAAGACTTGGCTCAGAGAGAAATGTCTTGGAGAAATTTAGGGCTGTTGCACTCTTTGCGTCTTGTACCACAACCACATGTGGACGAACGGAAATGATCGTAGCCTTGGAGTCTTGGACAACGGTTGCATCGATGGGCACAAACGCCATCTGAAGCTTGGCCGCCACCCAGAAGAAAAGCCCCCATTCGGCCGAGTTACATAGTACAACGGCCAGTCGCATGCCCGGGAGACAGCCCAAGGTCTGAAGAGACTCTGCAAGACGCTCTGCCTTGTCTCTGAGTTGAGAGTAGGACCATCTCAGGTATGAGACATCACTGCCATCCGGGGCTTGACGGGGGGGATCTTCCGGGGAATCGCATGGCTGCCACAGAGAGACAATTGCGTCTTGGTGCGGGTGTAGAGTGGCAGCATTGAGGAACAAGTCCCAGAGGGTCAAATGCAAGTCGGGAACAGGACTACCAAAGACCTCTGAGATCTGCACTTGCTGGTCTGGTGTCTCGATAGAGGGTGAGACAGACGACGCCATGGCCAAGAAAGATTGTAAGCTTTTTTGCTCTTATGAGATGGGAAACAAAAGAGGCTGAATCAGAAACAATATTGAGCACGCGTGTAAGTGGTACAGCTGTCGACTGAAACAAGCCCAGCAAAGAATGGATGTATGATGAATTGCAAATTTCATGCCCATAAAAGAGAGAAGAATGCAGGGTTAAATACGATACATGACCCATAGACAATTGGAAAAGTCCCCGGCGTAAGAGTTACCTCGCAGGCAGCATCTTGACACTGCCTATAGCTAGGGGCTTTTGTATCCATGTCAGATTCATGCAACTCCAGATTGTCATATCTGAAAGGGTTCCCGACAGCTTGGGCCGCCCGAGCCGTGCTGACACTGTACACGTCGGAGACGAGGTCGAGACAGTCGTACAGGTGGTGCACCCGATCCAATCGACGGTGTCAGTCGACAGCCACTCGCCCTGGGAGCCAACGGCGGAGGCGCATTTATTTTCGTCCCGTCATACAGCGTGTCTTTTCCGGGTATCACGCACTGAGAAGTTGTCTCTCTCTCTCTCTCTCTCTTTCTTTCTGAAGGGGGACTCGTTCGTCGGACCCGGTATCCCCAAGTTGCAGGATCGTCGAGGTGCTTCGTGGAGGGGGTGGTGGACAACTGAGACAACTCAATCTGAGACATTCAAAGTCACCGTTTTCGATACATGAGAAGGATCGACGTGTGGGAGTGTCCCCGCCGGGCTGATGATAAGAGGCTTGAGAAGGCCGTTGAAGTTCTGCAAGAACAAGGGAAAGGCGGCGCCACAGAAGGGGAAACAAACCAACAGGATGTGAATCCCTGCTGTAGCATGTCGATCACTTATAGGCTAAACAACAACACCGAAGGGTACCTTGCTGGAGAAGCCAATCGATCTGTAAGACCCCTGCTCTTGGTCTCCAACAGCCTGAATTCACCTGTAGATTGGGGAATTCCACTTGACAGCGGAGTATCTATTAGCTATCCGCTCTGGGGGAGACCACACACACGGGAAAAGGTCACATCTCGGGCCGCCGGTACGTGTGTCTTTGACGTTCCGGTGAAGCTGCGATGTCGTGCATACAAGTATGGGGGATCTGTGGGCCGTATACCCCGTCGCAATGCGCAAGATACGCATGGACAGCGGATCGACGCCAGGTTAGACCGGTTTTTGAACACTCTAGGCATGAACGGGGCGTTTGTTTCCAAGGATAGAAACCAGTAGCTTGAACAACTATCTCTGCCTCGTCGGCTGCCTCGTTTAGGACTCTCAGGACTTTTTAGTTCGGTGCTATATAGGCTATTTCTAGGCATTTCGGCTCAAGACAACGAATGACATCAAAGTCCTACTGCCAGATTCTTCAGTGGCGTCTGCAAGAGTTCCCCCTTCTTTCAGGTTCAGGTACATCCATCTAGTCCAACCTTTCGGAGGAGTGCCTCTAATTTGGAATCTCACCGCGCACAACCTTTTTACTCTACTTCTCCCCGGGGTGGCAGACCTCTGGTAGACCCTGTCTCATGGTCAATTACGCTGTCTCGGACCGTGCCGCATCTGGGATCTTGCGTGTTGTGTGTGTGTGTGTTCATGTGCTGTATGCGCTGTCATTGAGATCCCGGCGAGCCGGCTGTCAGTTCCCGGTTTTCTTTTGCCCCTGAGCATGAACAGAGAGAAAAATCCTATCTCTAGGACGTAGTTGTGTCACTACAGCAGGCATTATGTGTGGCTTGGTCAGGCTCTGAATACATTCAGCTGACTATATCTAGGAACCAAGCAATTACGAGCACAGCCGGGAAAAGATGATGACAAGGTCCCAGGAGCGAGGCACAAATCATGCCCCCTTAGATCTGCGAGCTACTGCCCTGAGCACGTCAGGTCCCGATGTCACTGGAGGAACACGGCATATCTCCATCCTATGAGATCGTCTTTTTCTTTTTCAGGGCGAGAGGAATGCCCATGATGCCACTTTCTTGTTTTCTTGTTTCACCGCAGGAGGTATTGTTAGTGCCAGCTCAAAAGGCTGTGGGGGCAAGGCATTGTCCAGGGGACCCTATTCTAAGCTGGACCCCAATGGCCCCCTTGGTGTTGTCGTTTTTGAATACGATAGGGAGTCGAGATTATAAGTCCTTGACGAGGAGAGGATCTGTAGGTGACATCAGCTGCCTCCCTTCAAAGCCATGGCATCTTGGCGGGCTGAAACTACGGCACGGCACAGCCCAGCAGCGGCAAGCCAGAGGAATGGATGGATGCTAGCTCGGTGCTGGCACGGCTCAATAAGGGGGCGTATGCTTGTGGCCCGGATCTGGGACATTGATTCAGGCTGTCGGGGATAATTTGAGGGCATTACATTTACCTCCCCGAGCCCACCACGGGACCTCCAGTGGCTGTCAAGCCTCTTTTTCCCTTTACTCTCACCAACCCTTGTACTCTTCTTGTTTTAGCATGCTCCATTCATGTCTATCATCAAGATGTTGAGCCCGCTGTTAACCAAGTTCCTCGAGCAACACCTCGTCCTCACCATCGTCCTCCTCCTCGTCCCGTTCCCGCTCCGCGCCCTTGAGACATACTTGCGGAGATGGAGACTCGCACAGGCCCGGGGCTGCCGGGAAGCTAGGAGCAAAGTTGCTGTCAAAGACCCCATCATCGGGTTTGACTTTCTATACAGAGCTTTGTTCAGCCATGCCCCGGAGCGATACCTGGATAGTACGTGGGCGGCGTTCAAGGAGATGGGAACCACGTACGTAGAAAAGAGGTGGACTTGGCAGTGTGTTTACACCTGCGATCCTCTCAACCTCAAACAGATTCTTGCCACTGCCTCTGAGGACTTTGATCTTCCAGAGTTTCGCACCTCGGTCATCGGACATGTCTTTGGCCGAGGCATCTTTGTCCTCTCAGGACACACATGGAAGCATGCTCGAACCGTTCTGAGACGAAGCTTCAAGAAAGAAAACCCTGCTCCTTTTCTTGAAACTCTTGAACGTAACTTTCAAGCTTTTACAAGTCATGTTCCAACTGATGGGTCCGAGGTTGACCTTCAGCCTCTGTTTCTAGGTCTCACCATGGACGTAGCAACAGAGTTTCTCATGGGACACTCGACAGGCATGCTCCGAAACAAAGGCGATCACTCTCGAGAGCAGCAGTTTGTCGATGACTACATGGTCTGCTCCGAGGAGATCATCCAGCAGATGCAACTGGGCCCTCTTCACCAACTCAAGTTCAACTTCAAAGCCAAGAAGGCCAAGAAGAGAGTGTATGAGTATCTCGACAAGTTTATCGACGAGTCACTTCAACACTCAAAAGAAAGCAACCCCGGGAGTAATTTCTTGGCAGACATGATGGCGATAGCAAAGGACCGCAAGGGTCTAAGTGATCAGATCCTCCACATCCTCTTGGCAAGCAGAGACACTACCTCGAGCTTGTTGAGCAACCTCTTCTTTGTCTTATCCAAGAACCCAGACATCTTTGCCAAGCTTCGACAAGAAGTCCTCCACATCTCTGGCCAAGAACCGCCCACAGCTCACCAACTCAAGGAGATGACTTACATGAAGTGGTGCGTCAACGAATGTGAGTCAAGCCACTCCCTACAACCGTCAGCCCTCTAACACGTCCTCAGCCCTGAGGTTGCATCCTGTCATCCCCACAAACGCCCGTGTCGCAGTCAGGGACACGACCATCCCTCGTGGTGGCGGCGCCGACGGGCAGTCCCCCCTCCTCGTCCCCAGGGGCACCGCCATGTTCTACAACGTCTACGCCATGCACCGCAGCGAGGCCGTCTTTGGTCCCTGCGCCGAAGAGTTTATTCCCGAGCGGTGGCGGGACCTGAGACCGGGCTGGGGATATCTCCCCTTCAACGGCGGCGCCCGGGCCTGCATCGGGCGTGAGTTTTCTGACTCGAGAGGCGTGTCGTACAGGGCTGACGGTTTATATGACAGAACAGTATGCGCTTCTGGAAACGCACTACGTTGTGGCTAGGATGGCGCAGACGTATACTCGGCTGGAGTCGAGGGATGATAGGGATTGGATGGAGCTGTACGCCTTGGCGTTGTGTTCTAAGAATGGGACTCGGGTTGCTGCGAGGCGTTGACTGTAGGTTGTGTTTGTTTTCTTATTGGTTGTCTATGTGGCTGGGCCATATAATATGGGTAGGTGACAGTTGCTTGGAGATACCTGGTTGTTATAGTGTTGGGGTGTTTGCGTGTACAGGTTGTTATTGGCGTTACTATTGATGGGGTACTCGATCTATGGCACGTTGTAATACTGTTTGAATACTGTGTTCCCAAGTTACACATAACCGACATTTCTTAATAGCCGACTCTTAAGTTGAGCATTCCAATAACCAGCATCATAATACCGCTCTCATTTAGGCAAACCGAGCATAAGCAGTTTTCGAGACTGAAGGGCAACTCATTACGTACAAGAATCTAGAGTAGCGGTATGTCAAAATGTCGTGCTCAAGCGCCAGGGCACTCTCTCCAACAAAGCCTAATTTCACAGCTGGAAAACTCATTGGACCATACCCTTCCTTTGGCCGAGTATCCAGCATTCTATTACCCAATAGCAAGACAATGGACCGGACTGGGAAGTTATAATTGTCTGGTTACATGCTTCCCCGTGGGCGAGCAAGACAACGGACCGGGCGGGTGGTGGCTAGGGCCAGTTGCTGATCTCCAGGTTTTGGAAGGATGGCGAATCATGTTAAATCTTTGAGTCAAAAGATCCACTATTCTGTCTCTTGGCATCACCATATTAGGAAGTTTAGGCGCCATCGAGTGCCGAGAGGTTGGCGATGGTGCTTGTTCCGATTTTAAGTCTTCGGCCCTGCCGTTTAGGGTCATCGTTGGTGGCCAAGTAAGATCTTTCGTATGCATCCTATGACGAGTGACTGATCTCTCAGGGTTGCGTGGGGATAACCACATGGCGTTGACTCGGCGATCCTCGACTATTTAATGGCAGCTCCCTCCACCTTGACTAACAACTGGCATTGAGATTTCTGTCACTAATTGAAAGCTTTTCAAGTTTTGATCAATCAAGTTCTCGACCATGGGCAAACGAGTAGTCCATGCTCCCGTCTTGGGAGAGCACGTCTCGGGCCAGTCCAACAAGCCCCTTTCTCAACCTCCCCACAGCTTGACCAGCCAACAAGTCCTCGATGAACTCGGCAGTAATGCAGCAACAGGTCTTGCACCTGAAGAAATTGCCCAACGACTAGAGGATATGGGGCCAAACGAGCTCGAGCAAAAGAAGGGCGTTCAGCCCGTCAAGATCTTTTTCGAGCAAGTCTTTAACGCAATGACTTTGGTGCGTCAACCCTAGACTTACACTGAACCTCAATTCCATTGTGACACCTTCTAACGGTGGCCGCCGGGCTAGCCAGGTACTTGTTCTGGCGTTAGCCGCGAGCTTCGGCATCCAAGCTTGGATCCCAGGAGGTATTCTAGCCGGAATCATCATCCTCAACATCTTCATTGGCTTCTTCCAGAGTCTTCAGGCTGAAAAGACTATCGACTCTCTGCGTACTCTTGGCACACCCAACTGCAAGGTCTTTCGGGGCGGCAAGACAATCACCATTCAGACTTCTGATGTCGTCCCTGGAGATATCGTCGACTTGGCTACTGGTGATTCGGTTCCTGCTGATATTCGACTCATTGAGGCTGTTAACCTTGAGGCTGATGAGGCTCTTCTTACTGGAGAGTCGGTGCCTATCCTCAAGATTCCCAAGTTGACGTTTGATGCCGATACCGGCCCTGGAGACCGTCTCAATGTCGTGTACAGTTCATCCATCATTACTAAAGGCCGTGGTCGCGGTGTAGTCTTTGCTACTGGCATGTTCACCGAGATCGGCCTCATCGCTGGAGCCCTCAGCAGCACCGGATCCGACCTCAAGGGGTACCGTGACGATACCCAACGTTCAGCAGCCCTCAAAGTATGGGACTCGGTGTACGACTGGATGGGTGAGTTCCTGGGTCTCACAGTCGGTACGCCTCTGCAGAAGAAGCTCTCTCAACTGTTCCTGTCCCTCTTCGTCTTCGCCATCGTGTGCGCCATCGTGGTGCTCGGGGCCAACAGCTTCGACTCACGCAGGGATGTCATAATCTACGCCATCACGACGGCCATCGGAACTATCCCCGTGTCTCTGCTCCTCGTCCTGACCCTGACCATGGCGGCCGGCACAAAGAAGATGCTTGAGCGACATGTCATTGTCCGAAACCTCTCCAGTCTCGAGGCCCTGGGCGGTGTGACGAGTATGAGTCTTCCTCTCCTTTTCATGCGCACCCGTGTTCGAACCAAACGGCTAACCGCTTCCTCTCTAGACATCTGCTCCGACAAGACCGGGACCATCACCCAGGGGCGCATGGTGGTACGAAAGGCATGGGTTCCGGGTTGTGGAACATACTCGGTCGAGGCGACGAGCGAGGTGTACAACCCCACGGCCGGTCAAGTCCTTCTCGACAGCTCCGAGCCTAGGCAAGCTGCTGAGGAGAAGAGCGAGGGGTCACCGATATCTCCCCACGACGAGGTGGCCTCAAACCACAGCCTGCAGTGGTATCTCAACGTCGCGTCACTGGCCAACCTGGCCACCGTCGAGCAGAGCGACAGCAGCTCTGCTAACCCGGGCGAGTGGAAGGCCAAGGGTGCTCCCACAGAGATTGCTATAGAGGTGTTTGCTGGTCGTTTTGGTTGGAACAGGTTGAAGCTTACCCAGGGTCAGAAGGCTGAGTGGAAGCATGTCGCCGAGTATCCCTTTGATTCGGATGTGAAGAAGATGACGGTTCTCTTTCACAATCTCAAGTTAAATGAGACTCACGTTTTTACCAAAGTCAGCACATAGCAATGTCCTCTTGTTTCTATCACTAACATCCGCTAGGGCGCCGTTGAACGAGTCATCTCTTCATGCAAGTCCATTGCCATCGGTGACAGCATCCAGCCCCTCACCTCAGAGGTCAGCCAAAACATCCACCTCAACATGGAAGCCCTCGCAAGCCAAGGTCTCCGTGTTCTTGCCCTCGCCCACAAGCTCAACAGCCGGGTCGTCTCCGAGTCCGAGTTTGTCGACGACATCGTTCCCAACCGCGACCTCTTTGAGCGAGACCTCATCTTCCGAGGCCTCATTGGCATTTACGACCCTCCTCGTCCAGAGTCTCTTCCTAGTGTTCGCGCTTGTCAAGGAGCCGGTATCGTCGTCCACATGCTCACGGGAGATCATCCTCAGACTGCGCGCGCCATCGCCATCGACGTCGGTATCCTGCCTTCTCCTGAACAGACTCAACTGCTCTCTGCAGATGTGGCCGAGACCATTATGATGGCTGCACACGAATTTGACGCCCTCACCGACGCCCAGATCGACGGCATGCCCCAGCTTCCTCTTGTCGTAGCTCGCTGTGCCCCAAGTACAAAGGTCAGGATGATCGAGGCTCTACATCGTCGACAGCGCTACGTCGCCATGACCGGTGATGGCGTCAACGATAGTCCAAGTCTGAAGCGAGCTGATGTGGGCATCGCAATGGGAACGGGCTCAGACGTGGCCAAAGAATCATCAGACATTATCCTCACCGACGACAACTTTACGTCTATTCTCAACGCCATCGAGGAAGGTCGCCGCATCTTTGACAACATCCAAAAGTTCATCTTACACGTCTTGGCCGCCAATATCGGCTTTGTCGTGACGCTTCTCGCCGGCCTCGCTTTCAAGGATAAGAACGGCGTGTCTGTCTATCAACTCACACCCGTCGAGATCATCTGGATGCTCATGGGCACTGGTGCATTCTGCGAGACTGGCCTTGGCTTTGAAAAGGCTGTCCCTGACATCCTCAACCGACCCCCTCAGAATGTAAGTCGACCTACCTCCTTAAAAGTCCAAATGTTAACCACCAACAGCTCAAATATGGCGTATTCACCCCCGAGTTCCTCGTCGACATGGTCGTCTACGGCACCATCATGGCCGGGTGCGTCCTCGGCTCCTTCACTATCGTCATCTTTGGCTTCAGCGACGGCAACTTGGGCGAGAATTGCAACAGCGATTATTCAGAGGCCTGTGATGCCGTATACCGTGCCCGCGCTACCTGCTTCACCACCATGACCTGGATCTTCCTCCTCTTTGCCTGGGGCCTCATCGATTTCCGACGCTCGCTGTTCAACATGCCCAAGGGATTCAAGGCCTGGCTGGCTCACCTCTGGGGTAACCAGTTTCTGTTCTGGGCCGTCTTTGGTGTCTTCTTCACCGTCTTCCCGGTTCTTTATATCCCCAAGTTGAACCACGTAGTGTTCCAACACACGGGTATCAGCTGGGAGTGGGCTGTCGTGTTTATAGACGTCATCGTCTTCATGACTCTGTCTGAGGCCTGGAAGTGGGCTAAGCGTATCTACTTCCGACGACAGTCCTTCCAGAGGGAAGGGGAGTGGGGTGAGGGAGACCAGGCTGAGGTTCAAGTGTAGGATCAACATCCCAGGCGCAAGATCCAGGCTCACGCCAGGAGCCATGGCATCGAGTCTTGATCACACGAGGGGATTATGGCTAACCTGTATATCAAAATTGCTGCATTGTTCAAGTAGTTTCATTATTCGTTCAACTTATTGTACACTTGGTTAACCATGCATTCTCAAGAATGCAACTCATAGCCATTCCTCAAATCAAGCTCCCAAGACCGATCAAGGCAAAACCGTACTCCTCCAAACCTTACCCACGCCAATCCATCGCCAGGGTATAATAACGTCGTTAACCACCAATAGAAGGTGGCAAATTGCTTGCAAAGTGAGTTTCAATGCTCACAAGACAGATCATCCCCAATAGCCTTCACCAAGCCATATGATCAGACAATCAAGAAATCCATGTGGAGATCCCTCAACGTCTGGACCCAGCTCTTCGTCTGTGTACCATCAGCCTGAACTCCCCATAGCATCTGTAAGGCATCCCTCGCCGCGTAGAGGAATCCCCAAGGAGACTCGAGCATCAACTTCTTGATCTGAACCGTGACCCATTCCTTCATCTCGGGCGTCTTGGCGCACGCTCCAAACACAAAAGTCACCCACGTCGTGGCTTTAAAGTTGGTATCGTCGTCGGGTATCGTACCCAGCGTCTGATGGAGCTCGTCAAAGATGGTGTCGGCTAGTTCTTCGCCAACCCAGGCTTGCATGGACGGTATTGCGTGGAGGATGTAAAGGCACACTGCCAGGCGATGAGCTGACGCTACTCGGAATCGACTCAAGACTGGATCCGGCTCGGTAGAGGGGATGTTGTTGACTTGTCGTGCCCAGGGGAGCACGTCAAAGTTCTGAGCTCGATCCAAAAGGGCTGCTCCAGCCGCCGTCACCATATCAGCCGAGACAAGATCGTCGTGTCTCGTATTAGAGAGTCGAGAAGCTATCAGCATGATTTCGAGGAGCTGAGGTGGACAGCAGTAGTAACTGTTAGTCGTCTTTCCAAGAATGTCCAACGCCTGACATGACTGAAAGTACGAGTGTGAGTCCGTTGGCGTTGGCCGGAATGTGGACTCTAGGATATAGTAGCTACTGATTGTCAGCCCATTGAGTCAGTTAGAGCAAGATTTATGACGCACATGAAGCAGTCGGACACGATATAATCTCTCAGACTCTCGTCAACATCCGATACTGGTCCCAGCAGTTTCATGATCCTCCCAGCACCGTCAAAGTGAGCCTTCCAGTTGTGCTTGCCAGACTCGATCAGCTCAACGTTAATGAGGAACAAGATGGCGGCGAGCACAATGTCCCCTCCGATGGACTCGATGCTCTGCAGGGCCGACGGCAGCATGCGCAACACCTGGTGCTTGGCTTCAAGGGCGTCCATGAGGAGGTTCCTGGGACCCAAGCCCCTGTCGAGAGAGTCCGGGGCCAGCCAGGGCCGAGAGCGGTTGTACATGTGCGTCGCCGAGGCGGCGATGATGACTTGACGGAGGAGAGGGTGGGCCTGAGTGAATTTGAGGAGGTTTCGAAACGGGTTGTCGGGCACGTCGTAGGCTACAAAGTCTCGACTGAGCCGCGCATCGACTGCGAGAGCTGGTCAGCCATGTCTCTGTTGATCACTTATTGTCTCTCATTTTCAAAGAGGGGGGCCAAGGGTTGCGCACAATAAGCGAGATACTGCCTGTGGTTGCTCGTGATGTCTTGGTAGAGCGGATCGACAAGCACCCAAGGCGTCGACGTCGACGCCTCCGAAGCCAGGGCATTCGTGGTACAGACGAGCTGTGTGTCACAGCTCGCTACGGGGGTTGCATGGTCATGAGAAAAGTCAAACTCGGACTCGACATCTGGCGTGTCCGAGTTGTCTGAAGTCAGCTCCTCAACCTCTCTGACTTCAGGAAGACTCGGAGCAACGTAGGCAGCCGGCGATGACGGCGGGATGGACGGCGAGGCGGCGGACGACGAGGCGGAGGAGGCAGATGAAGACGCAGGAGAGGCAGAGGAGATGGACGAGACGGAAGATATTGAGGCTCTCGAGCGGGCTGCCGCACCCCTCACCGGGGTATACAGGGCGGCGCTCGACTGCTGGCCGGCGAGCTTACCCCGAGACGCAACGGCGCCCGTCCACTGAAAGAGCTGCCCGTACCCAAGGCACTCGACTCCCTTGGCCTCGCACTTGGCGCAGTGTGGGACCAGACGGTCACAGCGAAGCCGTCGCCGGCGACAGTTGTGGCACGGCTTGTCGGCAACGGGTCCGGATCGTACGTTTTTGCCCTTTTTACTGCCTCCGGGAGCCATGGGGCGCTGTAGAGGGATGGGAAAGGACAGAAGCAACTGAGGGGATCCAGACGACCGAAGCAAGCAAGGGGTCGGCGTATAAGCATCAAGCAAGCAATCGCCTAGGGGCCAGCGGATTCGGCAGCAAGGGGCCAGAAACCACAATTATTGACCAACAGGGGGCGCATACTCATCAGTCGAACGATTGATGAGCAAGTTTCCTAGTAAAGGTAAGTAATAAAGTGTGTCTGATGGCCCAGGAGGGGAGTTGTAGTGCGTACGTTGCTGGGCTCAGCGCTCCTTGTAATGGCCCATGGCCGGAACCGGGCGGAGCGGATGCCGGAGGACGCTAGACCGTAAGAGGCAGCCAAGACGCAATTTCTCGAGACTCCCCCTCTTCCATCGTGGACAGTGCCGGATGCCGGTAGTTTGGGTGGTTCATGTTAAATAGAGAGCATGCGAACGACTGGACGGCAGTGTCTTTCAGCCTCTGGTAGATAAGAGCTGGTCCAAATACTTGCCTATTCTGTCATGGCAGCGTTGCTTCCACTACATCCGTGCCATCAGGACTAACCAACAACTCGCAGCCTTTGGATGTCGGGTTTGCGTACTAACAAATGTGTACAGATTAACAGAAGATGTTGGTTAATGGATTATTTCGACTCTTCTCGATACTGTGAGCGAATCCTTCGGGGGTCGCGTGGCCCGTCGTTGACATCACCAGGTCGGGCTTGGGAGAATTCAGTTAGCGCAGACATTCATGTTAACGTCCCGGAACTGCAGTTGACAGCATTGGCTTCGAAAATCCTTCAACTTCAATATTCGCCCCAGTGCCCTGGATTGTTTCTCGCCGGTATCCGGAAGCTCAAACTTGAGAGGGACATTTTGCCCCTGACAACCCGGCTTTTCGCGGATGAGATGATGATTGGAAGGTCAGGCTTCATCTTCATTCTGACTATCGAACAAGGCGTAAAAGTCCCAAAGAAAAGAATTCTATGCTGGTACTTGGATGACGCTCTAGGTTCAACCATCATCTTTGCTTCTAGACGGGCCTCCCCCTGAAGCGCCATCTTGCCTTGACTAGAAAGCCTTGTCACTCGCCTTTGAACGACTCAACACTGGTCCACCACGGCCTCTGGAGTGTGTTCTTGTTTCCTACGCCAGGATTTAATCCTGTGTTGGTCTCAGGGGCCTTGAGGAACTCAGACTCTCCTCCGCCTATTATCGTCCCTCTCCTGTCCGTGTCAAACTCCCACTCCCCTTAATCTGCTTAACTGGTCGGGGATTCTCTGAAAGCGCGGGCCCGTCGTCATCGCCATCTTCTTTAGGCCAGTCGAAGAGTTTGTTATCCTTCGCCTGAGTTCTAGGCATTGAAGAGTTCCTTGGATCCTCAGCACTGCCCTCCATCTCCATCTTGAACGTAAAAGGCGGCTCATTCGAAGCGCCCGAGGAGCCAAACGCAAACTCTATATTAGTCCATTGTGTCGCGTCGAAGACGGTAGATGGCTTCGTCTCTCTGGGAGGAGATAACTTGCTTTTGACTGTTTGAGAGGGATTCGGTGTCTCTTCTCGAGGGGGTTCGGCCGGTCCATCTCTGGGAGGTGTATCTTGCTTGATAGCGGATTGATTCAACCCCATGTGATTGTCATTTTCTCTCCACTGGTCAAAAAGGTCGCGCCAATACAACTGCCCAGGAACTTCTTTTCCCGGCTCGGGTGCCAGTTCTGGAAGCGGGACTCGCACTCTCCTAGGTTTGGGGTCGCTGCTCTCCCCAGCCACACTCTCGCCAAAGTATTGTTTCTCGATAGTCTCCTTGGGGATCTCATCGTTGGGACTGTCCTCGGCGATCCACTTCTTGATGATCTCGTCAAGTTTCTCTTTCTCCATAGTCTTCTCGGGATCTGTTTTCTCTTCTTTCTCCACCCTCTTCTCGGAATTGGCTTTCTCGATAATGTCGTCAGAGTTCTTGGGATTTGTCTCGGTTGGCTCGATCTCGATAGTCTCTTTGGGGTTCTCTTTCTTGGCAATCTCGCCGGATCTCTCGTTCTCGGTCGTCTCTGTGGTGTTTGTAGAATAATCCTTTGAAGAGGTTAGGGGCTCGGGGTTTGAACCCCCTATCGCGTCTTTTCCCTCCGGAATCGGTATAGCTTTAGCTATGTCTATTGCTGGATCTCCTTTGTCATCGGCCGTGGGAGTCGAGCCAGCATCGACCTCCTAATTAATGTCAGCCATATTTCTTCTTCTCTGCGCGAGAGACTTGTTGTACTTACTTCTGTTCCTTCTTTCAGCGATGATGTTGGTTCTTTTTCTTTGCTCTCCTCTTCGTCATCCCCCTTATCGTCACTCCCATTGTTGTTTTTGTTGTCATCACTCTTGGCCTTGGTTTCATCCCCCTCGGTCTTGTTATCCTTGTCCCGAGTTCCGTTGTCGTCTTGCTCCTTAGCCTTGTCCTTCTCAACTTTATTCTCCTCCACTTCATCTTTCTTCTCTTGTCTCTTCTGTGTCAACGCCATCTCGGTCTGCTTCTCGACTCCAAATCTCTTCATTGCCCCTAGCCAAGGCTTCTTCGCCAAAATCTCCTCTGACGAGACATCAGGCAGCTTGATGGGAACTATACGATTTGCACCATATACTAACTTCCTATTCTTGAAAATCTCGACGCTACTGACCTGTCGTTGTCTGTCATGCTTTTCTTGTTGAGTGCTCGTCGGTGCAAATTCCCCCTTGTCGGAAGATAGTGAAGGCCCAGAAGGGGTGTTTGTCTTGGTAAGCCGTGGCTTAGGATCCAAAATCTTCCTCGGAGGAAAGGGGCTCCTGGGATTCAAGGCCATTGGCCGCACGGCTGACTTCTCTAGGGGATGTGTCTTGTCCTCGGGGCCCGTCTGCGTAGCTATCGATCGGGTCGGTCTCTTTGTCTCAACTGGGTCCTTTAACAGTTGTTGTAATAGCCAATCATGTTCTTCCCTTATCATCTGTCTCAAGTCCACGTCTTTGTTCTCATTCTTTTTCGGTTCTTTGTCGAGGGCGTCCTTGTCGCTTGCGGGGCGATTACTCGAGTCTCTAGACTGCGCAGCTCGGCGTCTAAGAGAGGCGTCGAATGGTCTGGGGCAATCATCTGGGCATTGCTGTTTCCAGAGGTCAATCTGCCTAGATATCCATGGTCGTAACACTCGAGTCGCCCAGGTTTCGCAGTTGTCGAGAATTGCCCTCAGCTCGAGGATGTCCACCATGCGGGTTAAGGAGCCCCTCCAGATTACTTGCATCTCCTACATGACGGATACGTGTTAGTAACTTGAAAGCCATGAGCCAGTCCTACTTACACAAGTGCCTTTAGAAGATTCGGAATGCATGATCCAGACACGAACCAAATCACGCCTGACTGTGATTGTCACCACAGGCGGGATGTCCCCAAGAGACTGGAGATCATGCCTAGACAAATCCTTGAGCATTTTCAGTGCAGCCGCGCCAGCATTGGCTGCGTGGCCATAGCAAAGCTCTTCATTGCCCTTGTACTCGTCTTTCATGTACTCGACAATCAGCCACGGGAAGAACACATACTCTGAGGACAATGCTGCCCCCCTTCGTCCAGTCTCGGTGACTCCCGTAGCACTTGGCTGCAGTCCGTGGCCAGCAAGATGTTCGAGAGTTACTTGAGAAAAGTTGTCGACGATTGAGTGACTAGAGGCAAATTGCTGGAGACCGCTATGTTGATGGTTGTATTCTGCCGGTGAGATCACGTAGACGGGGAAGTGTGCAACCCATCCTGGCTTCGGTTCTGGCAGATCGCCTTGCTTTCTTTCAGAGCCGTCTGGTCCAAATAACGTCCATGGCCGATCCCGTGCCCTGGCATAGGTCGTCAGCATCCAAGCACACAAGCGAGATCAACATCATATCTTACCCCTGAAACGAGTCGTAGTAGAACTTTGCGCGTGCTGTTCTGCAACAGTCAGTAAAACACGTCTCTCGTACCAGGGCACCCCATACTCACTGCCTCGTGTGTCCGTCGCAAACTTGGGCGTCATCCACCAAAGTATCAAGAAACAATTGTTCAAATTGCATCTTCCAATCATCCTCTCCATACCCATCAGTCCAAATCTGGCTCGACTCGCCAAGGTGATTCGTCAACTCCCTGATGCCGGCGCAAAACTCCAACTCATCCGAGATCTCGTCGTTATCATCGCCGGGGATGTCGTCGCGCGCATTGGTACCGTCCTCATTGAGAAGCTTGAGAATTTCTTCTTCGCTGAATCCAAACTTGTCTGGGATAGTCCTTCTGAAGTCGAGCAGCGCGTCTTGGAGAGACTCGACGTGGGGAGGGAGCAGCTCGCAGCCTCCATCGCCGTCCTCGATAAAGATGCCATTCTCTGCAAGCCTGGCGCGGTCCATCGCGTGATGATTTGATAACGAGTAAGTATTCGGCTTTGTGAATGAGACGCGTGTGTCGCGAAAGGTTGTGCTCGATCTCAGGGACGCGCAAAGCCCACAGGAACAAACGCAAGCTCAGTCACCCAACGTTTGTGACAGCCGTGAGCCACATCCCCTCATCACACCCCCGCAGCCAGTGGTCAGCATCATGAGACGGCACCTGCATTTCGTGTCGTTGGTCTGGGGGGCTTAGCGGATGCAGGGTGCTTGCTCCCCAGCTCGATCAACAGGGATGCGGTGGAGAGGAATGTGGAGGCGTCCGGGATGCCATTCGCACAATGGATTAGAGCTGAATGCTTAATCACCCTTGGCGGGTTTCAGCCCGCCCTCCTGTCATATTTGGTCTGTGGATGGCGAATAGGAGTCCCCCTTTGCATTGGGAGCAGATAGTTTGGACTAGGATCAGGGACGGACTATCCCGACCTGCCAAGACACATCTTATCTTATCTATGGTTATCTAACGACGACATCTCAAGTCCTTGAATTTCGAAGCAGTGCGTGGTAAACCGTCGGTGATAGTCTTGATAGATCCTTTTACAAGCCAACAGCACATAGGGTTGAAGCCCTACAGCTTTCATACCTGAGGAAGTTTCTCGAATCAAGCTCTGACCCTACGGCTGCCTCAGCGTTACTGTGGTGATGGCTAGTGACGTAGGTAACCTCACGACCTACGCATCAGCGCGCCAACCCGCCTGAACGCGTGCTCCAAATGAGTCAGATTTTTTTCCAGGTTAAAGTTTCCCACGAGAATTTTGACAGCACTGTCATTCCTCCTGTGAACCAGGGACATGATTAAAGTTGACATGTCTCCGGGACAAGGTTTGAGCCTCAACCGTTATCTGTGACGACCCAGCAACCAAGAAAGCATCAACGTCGCAAGCCCCAACCACGAACATGTCAGGCCACACATTACGAGAAGATCAAGTAGCACGAGTTGGGAAGATTGCAAAATGTAAAGCCCTTGAATGTTCGTGAAAGAGGACAATGTCGTAGGAACCATGTTCACCGCTGGGAACCAAGGACCAGTGAACACTGCACTAGATACAAATCAAAGACGACAAATCGTCCATTCACTGCCTTTCCCTTCCATGTCCATTAATCAATCCTCCAAACTCCGGGTATTTGTAGTCCCCAACTCCGCAGCGAAATGCTCAGATGGTTCCATATGCCCCCAAACTCCAGTACCATGCCATTGCCATACCGAAAATCAACAGAAACCGATAAATCCTTCCCCCCTCGAGGACCTAGTAGTCAGATCAACCCTTGTGGTGTCGCATAATATCGTCCCTCGTGTCGAAAAACATGGCCGAAAACAAAAAGTGACAGATTTCCTGCAGTGATGCCGTAGTGAGGCAGTCCCCTACTCCTAGTAAGGGGTAGTGCCACCCTGAGCGATCAGGGCAAGCTTCTGAACCTCAACCTTGTGGAGGGCGTCGTGGAGCTTAGAGATTCTAGAATCTCGGCTGGCAATGAATTGCTGGTAATGGAATTGGAAATCACGCCGAATGGTGATCAAGGCGTGGTGGACACGGTAGAGAATACAACCGTAGCCTTGCTGGCGGAGCAGGGCATACTCGCGCTGGCGAGCGGTACGGAGGCCTTCCTCGCGGTCATGGTAGAATCTGTTGATAACAAAAACTGCCCCATGAACCATGAGGCGGGCTTCCTCAACGAGGTCACCGAGTGCGTCGGTGCCCAGGGGTCCTTCGGAGGCCAGGATGGTCATCTCCTTGCGAACTTGGGCGAGGAGGGTAATGATCTTCATGATGCTGTCATCCAAATCACGGCGCGACTTGTGTCGGCGAGGGATGGTGTAAGTAAGAACAACAGCACCCTCGTTGGCGCGGCGGAAGAAGAACTGATTGTTGTGGTCGGGGTGAATGTTGAGCCCGCGGACCTGACGAGTGGAGGAAGACATCTTGAATAGGAGTCGTAGCAAGTGCTTTGGTAGACAGCCAGATAAGAAATGAGGTCGCCGTCGTCGACTTGGGTAAACAAAAGGCTTCGGGAGCGTGTTGTTTTTGAGAAAATGAGTCGTGGTGTTGTTTTTCTTGAGTTCTGAGCGCGGATGCAGAGCTAAGAGCAGGGCGGGAAAGCCTAGAAGATTCTTGCTGTACAGACCGCCTAGAGAGTTCGTTGGGGATCCGTGACTTTGTGACTGTAGAGCAAGCTCAAAAAAAGAGTCGAGTTAAGTAGAGCCTCGGGGGAGATTTTTTTTTGCAAGGTCAAGGTCGGTGGTGGTTCATACAAACTGAGGCGGGGTGGCTTGCGGTGGCCGTTGTGCGCTTCCTCGGCGGGTCAAGGAGGCAGACGCAGTGCCAGGCCGATGTTTGCCTGGCGGCTCGATCAGTCTAATGGTACGGGCCATGTTGGGTAATTTGGCGGGTGATGGCGGAGGTCGTCGACGGGCGAGGTATCGCAAAGTGTACTTGGAATCAACCTTTTCAGGTGAAAGTTTATACAAAACAATGTGATGTAAATAAGCAAGATGATATGTTCAATAATACTCAATAAAGAACAAAGAACATTCATATCTGGTGGTGAACCGACAGGATACTGCACTTTTATATCCCAAGGTTCGTCGCCTCACCCCGCGATCTGCTGCAGCCTTGACACCACTTGTGGCCTCATGCTACTACACATGACCAAGAAACAATCGAGAATACATGCATTGGCATAATTCAACTGGTGGCTCACCTCGAGCCAAGATGGTATGTTTCTGATGCATCAGATCATGTTGCTCTTGGCGTGCCTTATACCCAACGCTACCCTAACCCACCCGCCGATCAGGCGTGCGTGCGTGGATCCAAACGTTCCTGAGCATCATCAAATATTACCATCTGATTTAGATTCTTTTATGATTAGGCTTTGTATAAGACCCTTGGATTCTTAGGATCAACTCGTCGGTATTTAGGATGAATGGTACGAGCCTTAGATCAGATTGAGGAGGAGACGGGTTGGACAGCGCCTAACAAGGCCGCCGAGGTTGCGGTTGGGGCGTCTCGCGCGCTTGAACGCTCGCTCGAGTGTTCACAGGAAGGAGGAAGGAGACAGCTTGAAGCCTTTGACAGTGATTCACTGGAACCACAACCCGTAGTATATAAGCAAATCTCTCACTTGTTCAACCTCCTCATCTCTTCTTCAACCCTTCATCCTTTCCTTTATCCACATCACAGCTCCTTCGCACGATGTCCTCCGAACCGTCTGACACGGCCGAGGCCGACCACAACGACTCGCCCCCCAAGGCCCCCAAGACCTCTTCAAAGGCTTCGACCGCGGCCGACGTCCTCAAGGCATTGCGCGACGAGGAACGGCGCATGATCCGTTTCATCCTTCCAGAGGCCAAGAAACACCCCGAAGTATACGCAAAGGTCATCGCCAAGATCAAATCGAGCAAAATCAGGGATCCAAGGAGGTGGAGGGAGAGTGGCTTCATCAGGAACTTCATCGGTTGGCTAGCCATGACCAACAAGGATGCCCGTCCTGACCTTGAGGACGCCATCGCCGTCTTGGCCATCTTTGATTGCTACTCGAGCAACGCACCCTCCAAATTCCGCACGTCGCTTGTTGAACACGGCCTGCGAGTTTGGGCGACCAGGAAGTTGAAGGGGGAACGAGCCTCGACCGAACAAGGCTCGCCAGAGACGCTTCGTACATCCCCAAAGGCACCCAAGGTCAAGCAGGAGACTATCCTACCTTCAATCGAATTCGACCAAATCGCGCCTCGTGCCTCCTCCACGGCTGCTCAGGGGGTGAAGAGACCAGCCGATGACCCCCCAGCCGAGCACCCGCCCAAGCGAACGGTTTCCAAGGCCGAACACGAGGCCCTCGCAGCCCAAGTAGCCAGAATTGATGAGGCTGTAGCTGCACGTCTGCCAATAATCAGTTCCCGCAGCTTCGGAACCCAGACTTCACCTCCTCCAAGAGAGGCCGTCATGAAGCTGGTCTCTGCCATCACCGAACAGCAAGGGAAGCACAACCAAACACTTGCAGAACACAGTCGAGCCCTCCGCGAGCAGGGTCGAGCACTTGTCGACTTCCCCTCCACGGTCCGTGAGGTCGTCCGCCAAGAGATCCAACGAACAATCGTCCCCGTGTCGAACGACACCAGCATCTTCCAGCGTTCGCAGGCCCACGGGCCGTCATACACCGTCATCGCTAACCAGCCAATGCCCTCGTACGCGTTCGACACTGCCGGCGAGTTCCAGATAGTGGAGGCTCCTCAGGGGCGAGCTGCAGGCAGCAGATTCAACAGCAGATTCGGCATGTATGACCATTGACACTTGACTTTGACGGACTTTCAACGGGGGCTCCGATGAGCGGAGGAAAGGAAAACGATCGGGATTTCGCGGACCTGCAAGAAGTGAGACCTGGGGGGCTTCATTAGGAGTGAGATGCAAGTTTGCGAATATTGAGGCGGCGCATGGGGGCCTGGTGGAAAAAAAAACTGGAGTTGGGGCGTTCAAGGAGTTGCTGCATTGACAGGGCAAGGGCAGGACGGAGCTGCGGTTGCATTGGGGATTTCTTGGTGACACAAAAAATACAAGGTTAATCTAGCCGACCTACGCGGTAATAAACCTGGATTAATGAAGAGAAGCAAATGGGCACATATTCTCGCAACACCAGAGCAGAGCAATGAGCCATTAACAACACCAAACCCATAAAACTGGTGATGTTTTCTTTTCCTATGCTCATTATTCGGACCAGTCGGCGTTGAAATCAACCAACGAAAAGTATCCTAGCCTCCACGTGCAACAACGGCACCAACAGCGCATGTGAAACCCAAACCCTCACCACCACGACCAACAGCCATCACCACAGATTCAGCCACGACAAAATGCCTCTTTTGCCGCCATTGCCTTGAGCGTGTTTCGCCGAGCTCGGTTCGCTTCTACTCGCCCGAAAGACCGACGTTACTGCAGAGAACCAACAGAACCCATGAGAATCAATGGGGTTGTTGCGCAAATAACTCCGAGCAACCATCATAACCTTGGACGGACCCCCTGCAGCATTTTTTTGTAAATGCTCGATGGTGACAGGCGAGAGATATCGAATTCTACACTTTTACCCCATACTGTTTCATAATGGACTGGCCTTGGCTTGGTGGAACTCGATGCCCGGTGGCGCGGGGGGCTTCGTGCTAGCACATGTCTGTCCTCGCCCGGGGTGGTCCAGAGCACACAAAGCCCAGATCAGCGTTGCGCCGGCCCATCGCAAAGGGACCCTAGCAAGGACCCTAGGGATGGCCGCAGGCGCCAGACGCAGGCCGTTGCGCCTCTCGCGGCATCCGATTCGTCGCCCGACTGAGCTCCTGTGCAGTCCTTGTCTTGCTATTACCGACAGCAATGCGTCATCCCGTTCCCGCTAGTGAGGCCCCTTCACGCACGTAGCGTTAGTTGCGCAGCCAGCCATGGGGGAGAGATCCAAGGCAGAAGGGGAGTAAATCCCACACACGAGGAGGAATGCACAAGCGAGACACAGCTTTTGGGCATTGAGAACATGAAGGGGTGTGTGATTTTGTTTAATTTCAGACTCCTTCTCTTCGGGAGATCAAGGAGGCGAAAATCCGGGGTGAGTAAGGGGGTTAGATCGGCAGATGGACCAATCCAATCTAATGGCGCCAGACAAGAAAAAGTGACGGCCGTCTCTGACCCTCGGCATTGGACTCGTGGTGGTTTGACTTTCTGTGACTGGGCTTGGTGCTGTTTTACCCCGCAAACATCCTGGGAAAGGGAGGGGACCCTCTGGATGTCTTGTTCTGACGATCTTGTCAGAGAGCGGGCGGACGGGCTGACGATGATGACGGGGTTTGTTCGAGGCGAGAAAGTAGGCAGCATCACTCTTCGAGTCGTAGTCGTTTTCGGAAGAGATGGAGTTCCTTCCGCGTGGGTCGGGGGGCGTCTTGTTGGCGTTCTTCTTGGACCAAGTACGTGCATACATACATATGCACATGTGCGGCTGCGGATGGGATGCTACACTCTGTAGATGCGGGCAGCAGCTCAAGCAAAGAAACAGAGCCGAGTTCAACTCTCGGCTGTGTGTTGCTGATGGTGGGTTCCCCCAGAGCTACTGTACTGGTTGCGGTGAAGGGGGGCCTCGATTTGGGAAGCGAACGTCTACATGCACATTTATTGGACAAGAGGTTTGAGACAGGCCAAGGGTAAAAGTCTCTAGCGCCTCCATCAACGTGGAAATGGAATTGGCCGAAAGCAACCCATGGAGGAGATGGGGATGGGGACGGATCTTTTGCCTGGAGAGAAATCGAGCGCTTGGGTCTGAGTCTGGAGGGCATGGATATTCAATCGACGGGAGAGATTGGCTCTTGATGAAACCCAACTGCCGCTGCTCGTCACTCATGTCTCATGCCTTTTTCCTCCTCATCATCATGTCTCTCAACAGGAGAAGCATCGCCACCTTGTCTTTCTTCCTTTCAACCCCCAGGCATTCCCCATGTCGTCACTCCCACGATGACGTCTAAAAAAGCCTGGGGGAGGTCCTAGCCCATGACGCCCCAGGGTCTAGCCCGAGCCGCAAAGCATGGTCGTGGCAGCGCCAACAAAGAAAATGAGGCGAGGCCGGGGGTGGGCGATGGGGACTTTCTCTGCAAGGCCCAGGAGTAAATGAAATGAAAGCGTCGGTTCTGCAGAACGACAAGCTTAAGCCTGAAAAGCTCTCAGACAGCAGGAAAAAAGAATGGACCCCTAAGAGAGAGAGAAGACGCCCCCCCAAGGTTTATTATTACTGTACAAGGCAACAGACGGAAAATAATCATCCAAGCCACCCCCAGAATGAAAATCGTTTTGTCAAAAGTATATGTCTTCATCTTCAACATCTGAGCCAGTAGGAGACGCGCCTTTTGCGTGTGGGCGAGCAATCAAACCCTCCCTGGAACCACACCCACTTTTCACAGTAGCTTAGCTTCTTTCCCCCCAAAACTGGGGCCCGCCCCCAGCTCGGCGTTTGTGTCAAGGGTGGTGGTGTTGCAGCATGTAAGTGGAAAGACAAAGCCCCAGCCATTCCCATGTAAGAGAGAGCCTGAGGCTAAAGTTTGAGGCTACATGACGGACGGGTACAGCTGCACCGTGAGATCTTCCCTCAGGGAGAAAGGCTGAGCCTGTCCTTGTCCTTGTGGATTCCACCCCCATCCGATCCGTCCATCCGTCCATGACATCCGAACACAGAGGGAGGGGGGCGTCCTCCGAAGCATGAGTTCTGAGTTTGTTCACACCTTTCTTCCTCATCCTGTTCTTCTCTTCCTCTCGACTATTTTAACTCTCTTCTCTCCCTCCTTTTTTTCTTTCTGATTCCCTTTTCCTCATCATCACACTTTGACTATAGACTTGCCAACAGCATCTCTACTACACCTACACAAAAATCACTACTTTTACCAAAAACACCAAAACAACCACCATCACCAACATGCCCGCCTACGAGTACTGCTGCCAGTGTGGAGGCATGATTGTCATCAGCACCACCTGCACCGCCTGCGGCCACAAGCAGTGCCCTGCCTGCCCCATGTCCTAAATTGCTCATGGGAGAGTCTTGTCGGCGACGACAATGGGCTCGCTCTCGACTGTTTGACCATACTCCTTGGTGCGTTCCCTCGTCGACAACCAGACACAAGAACCTTCATTAACACGCCTCTAGATGTCTCGAACTCCTCGCATCATGTATTACACCAAAAACACCTCGAGATCAGAGTCTAAACACGTTCGCTCGATCTTAAAGACGAACAACCATCACTCAACGACTTTGTACGACTGGCGCATTCTGGTTTCGCTCTGGGAAATTTTCAGCCTTTCAACTTCTACCCTGTCGTCACCTCTTCCTCCAATTTTTTACCTGGAATTCTCTTTACCCGTCATTCGATTTTGATACCCTAAATTTTCGGAGTCGGTTCGGCGTACACCCCCCGTTGGCACAACCCCCAACTTGTTTGGGTCAAAGCAACCTTTCAACCCTCGCCATATCTTCAGCAACGCGATTTTCTTGTTGTATTGTATGACTACGGCGCCGAAGAATGACATCAACGCCTGTCCTCAAATGGATTTTGGATTCGGACAATAGGGCGTTTTCTTTTTACTGCTGGTTTATTACGTGGCCTTGGGATGGGACGCAAAGGGAAATGAATCGTAACGGATGATTGATTGTATAGTATCGATACCCGCGGTCTTTGGACGGCTCGATTTAGAAAAAGAAACCAAGGCTTCTTTTCTGAGTTCATTTTTTCTCTTGTTTATGTGAAGCTTGTTGACTTGTTGAAAGCCCACAATAAGGCCGAATCTTTGATGGAGCCTTCAAACCTTTTGACACATTGGTTCTGTATTGTTGAACCTTCTTGGCAATTTTTTTACTACGGAGCATCTTAATTACGCTAAACCTTTCAACAGATGATAAATTCTCTCGAACGATTCTACTCTCTCGGTGCCTATTGTCCCTTCGACCGTCTCCGTTGAACCGTCTCGGCCTCGAACCTCGACTCTTGAGCCTCTGTCAAGACCCACGATATAAACGCTCCAATCACAACACCAGTTCAAATTACCTCTGTCGTCGTATCGTCCTTTGCCACACCACGAAAACCCTCCACTCTCTCGCTTTCAGTCCGATCTCTCCCGATCTCGTTCTCCAACCCCGGGAAATTCCCTCACCATCAAGATGGTCTCTCGGCCCTTTTCACCAAAGATCCGAAACCCCATGCGCTCATAGAAGGGAACCACCTTGTCATTCTCCCCCGCGATCCCAACATACACTCCTCCTACTCCGTCGGAAGCCGCCGTCAGCCTTGACATCACCTCCGAGATCAGCTTGCCTCCCCAGCCCCGTCGCTGCCATTCGTCGAGGAGGTCAATGTGCAGCGTTGCCCGGTTGCCCTGGCGGATGAGATCCTCGCAGCCCTTTGTCAGCAGTGCTTCTGGATCTTGGAGTAGTTCTGCTAGGTGTCTCCCGACGTCGTCATCTTCGTCGAGATGAATCTCTGGTTGAGGGACGGTAGCGAGGTAGGATGGCCACGCGGCCTTGAGGGCGAGCACGTCTGGACAGGCAATGCAGTAACCCACGACGGTGCCGTCACCAGAGTCCAGAACCAGGCACGTCGATGGCGAGTGGTACGTGTATGGGTGCGTCCACAGAAGAGGTGCAAAGTGATAAGCCCCCTTGGACGCGTCAAGCGTTGGAGGCAGAGTCTCGCAGCACTTTAACGGGTGAGATTGAACGACCACGAGGTACAAAGGCAAGACTTACAATGTGCGTCATGGCATCAAAGTCTCGTGCCTCATAAGGTCGTATGAAAGCCATCTTGTATCAATCAGGTGCTTTGTTCGCAAGGTATATCCCAACAGCGTACCCAGAGATCGTCGTCCGTGTAGGTGCTCCTTGATGTCAAAGCAAGCCCCCTCAATCAGCCTCGAAGGACGCATCATGTATTTACTCCCCGCATTTAGCATAAATGCGTGCAGCTACTCCTGGCCAATTACTGATACACAAGCGAATGCACAAAAACACGAGACAGGTCTCATTACAGCAGATTGTGTTGTCTAAAATCCTGACCAAGTATCTTCTGCAAGTTGATCTAGCCTCCAAGCTGAGTATTTCACGTACACATGCCTTCTTGGCCATGACTCTAATCTACATCCTTCTTCTCCGCCAGATTCGCCTCCAGCTTCTCCACATGCGCCCTAATCTTGCCAAACTGCCAAGGCCAGTCAACCACATACAAGAAGGGTCGCAAGTCATGTCGGTTGTCATCAGGGTTGTAAGGGCAGAGGTGGACGCTGGGCGTTATGATTGTGGATTTGTGACGGTTGATGGCTGTTCGGGGGCGAGTTGTTAGCAGGGTCCAAGGCATAGGGCAATAAGACAATAGTAGGTAACCAAGAGAGAGAGTCGAGTTTGGCTGATGGCTTCTGCAACCTCGGGGGCAGTGTATGTGGAAAGTGGGTTACAGGGTCGAAAATCCAGACGATTACCGCCCAACTTTTCGTTTTGTCTCCAGAGTCACGAAGGCGACACAAATTCGGTGCCAAGGGAAATCAACTCACAATAAAATCTGAAGAATCTGAACACCTTCTCTGCAATTTGTCGAGGGCCATAGCCAGGACGGTGACTCCAGTCGCTCAGGAGTCGCAGGTAAGCAGACCAAGGTCCAAGCTTGTCAACCTTTCTCAGGATCTACACTATTAGCATCTAGAATATTCAGGGGGGGGGGAACATACTCCAAAGACAGACAGCTCCTCATACGTCATACCCATCTCTTGCTCCGACTCATCATCCTGCACACCCGCAGAGAGCGGCAGGAGCTCAGCAGTAGGTGTCGCATCGATGAAATCGGTGAGAATTGGGAGGTCCCAGTTGGCTCGGGCCCATCGCTGGAAATCCTTGGCATCGTTCTTGGAAATGCTGCCAAGAGGTGCAAGATCTGCTGAGCTGGCATCCTATTAAACCATTAGTCAAGTTCCAAGGTATGTATCGACTAGCCCGGGTGACTTGCATATTTGGTAAAGTATCCACGCAGGTTCTACATATAGTTAGCAACATAAACTTGACCTCATAGACGACTTTACTCACCTCATCAACATTGCCGGATCCCAGGACAAGAAGGGCTGCTCCAGCTCTAGGGAGATCTCTGGCAGTGGTTGACAGCTGAGCCAACGAATAAGCAATCACCATACGGCTGCGAGCCTGAATATTCTGCTTAGCCAGGTTCTCAGCCCGAGAACCTCCCTCAACCTGGTACTTGGGCTTGAAGCTGAGCGCCTTCTCAACCATGAGCTCGTTGGCAGCCACGGTCTCGTCGATCTTGATAGACGAATGGTAAGAACCAAGAACGTCCGCGAGCTTCTTAGCTCTTCCTTCGGTCTCCTCGGACGAGTTGACCGTTCCCATATAACACGTGTGGAGAAGGCGACCAACAATCTCCTGGGGTGTCGTAGGAGTAAACTCCTTGTCACCCGTAACCCGTCTCAGGGCCTCGAGTGTGGAGTTCTCGCCAGCCTTGATCGAAACCATGACAAGGCGAGCCATGCCGTAAACAAACAGCGCCACACTCGAGCTGTCAAGACCACCAGACAGTGGCAAGAAGAAGCCCGGAGAGTTTGTTCGTGTCAAGTACTGCCACAGATAAACGGCTGTGGCCATGTAAATCTCCTCCATAGGATCAAGGATCTTGAGCTGGATAGCGGGAGAAATCTCTGGCCGGTTGGACAACCAGATTTCCTCAGCAGGCCGTGATAGGACGAGGTCACACTCGACTCGAGGAAACTCGGGCTGTGCAGCAGCCTGAACATTTCGGCTGATGCTGCTGCGGAAACTGCGGACTTTTTCGATGTCGACAGTAGCCACAGTCACCTCGACAGATGCGAGGGAGAATTGACTTCCTTGAGCGAAAACTTCACCATTCTGAATAACCATGCTGCTTCCGTCGTGCATCATGCGAGCATCACCGTCAACACCTGTCGCGTTGGCATAGACATAAATTCCACCCAGCTTTCTGGTAGAGTTGGCGATAAGCTCAAGTCGAGTTCGCAGTTTTCGGAGCTCAGCATGAGAAGCGCTAGAGTTGAGAATGATCTCGGCACCGTTGAGGCCGGCGAACGTAGATGGGTTCAGAGGAACAAACATCTCCTCGCAAGACTCGCAAGTCACTGCAGTATCCGGTGTAGACAGGATCATGTCACCGATAGGTACTGACGACTGGCCAGTCACCTTTCGCACAGGGCCATCGAGATAGTAGGTCTCGACCTGTCGCGGCTTGCTCCAGGCAGTGAAATGACGGGCCTCACGATACAGACCGTCATTGGCAAGGGCAGTCTTTGGCCTGATGCAAAAGATCTTGCGATACGTGCAGAGCACGCGAGAGTTGTATCGAACATTGCGATGGCGCACTCCAAGCTATCCTTACATTAGTAATTGCTTTCAAGTATCATTTCGAGTTGAGTCACGTCAACCATCGACTCATGCCAACACCAGAACAATCAATCAGGAACTGCAGACTTACACCAAGGTCAATAAGCATTCCCTTGCAAACCTCATCTGAAATGATGTCGGCAAGCACCTCCCAAGAGTGCAAAAAGGTGTCGCCTATTTCCGGGGGACCAAGTGTGGTTAGTCAACCAATCAATTAACGAGATACCCTCAACATGGGTTTCAGGACTCATGCTCCTACCTTCGAGGTGGTGATCGAGAGCACAGTAACCAGGAATCTCCAGCTCAGGACCGGTCCTCAACGTGGCACCCTTGTCCTTGGCGATCCGGATCGACTCTAGAATGCGCTCCTTGTTCCCGAGAAAGTCGAGCGGGATGCTGGGCAGCGTGGCCGCCGCGACAGTAACCAGAGCCATGTCGGAGGGTGAGACTTGGTCTCCTGCTCAGAACTATGACTTGGGAGAGTTGGATTGATGGAGGAGAGTTGAAGGGAGTGCTTTATGAGTGTTTTGCGAGATGCCGTGAAATGTCCGTCCCCGGAGCACGCGCGCAAGCGGAAGTCAGGTCAAGTGCGGGGGATAAGACTCACTGGAGCATCCCACCAGGGTCACGTGCTACCCCGCTAGTTCCGTGACAACCTCAACCTCAGATAGTCCCGCCTAATGCTATCAGCTCGTCTGATAGGCAATCAAGATAGTGTGTCAGACTATGTCTCCAAGGCTATCTGGTTAGCAATAGCACTCATTCCTCGGTCCAATAGGGCACCTGATGACTCAATACTACTCATGCTTGCAAATGCAACTGTACCGAACTCGGACCATTCATCATACATCCAAGACTCACAATTCAACAGCGAACAACCGCTCAGTTTCAAAGTTTTGTAAATTGATCAAGGTGGTATCCTCACCGCGCCTTTAAGTCTCCGCCAGTTTCCCATCCTATACATAGGTACAAACCAAACACCTCTCCTCAGTGCTCCGTCGAAATGCGTTCGCGCTTTATTCCTTTCCATTCTCCCTCCAAACATTGTTGCTTTCCTCCACATTTCGCCCCGACGCCAGCACTTCGAATCAAAGGCCTGCTCGATCCATTTCGCCGGCCGGGTGTGTCTGTCTGCGCCAGTTACTAGATTCCAACCTGCCCTAGCAACAAACTGATTCAAAAATTGTTCTCCACAAAGAAAACGAAACAGAAAAAGGGAATGAGGTATTAATCGCCCCGAGAATTATACAGTTGCTTGGGAACCGGTCGTCCCAGACTTTTTTTGGTGAATTGAGGGCAGCGGAATAAAGTGATGGCTAAAAGAAAAGGGCCGTGAGGTATCTTCGTCGTGAGTCTCATTGTGTCGGCAAATAAGGGATTAAAAGAAGGTAATATCAGGTACATGGCTCTGCTGGAGCCTTCAGATCATGCCTCCCGGAAGCACGTTGCTGCTCATGCTAGGAGGCAGAGGCGGAGGGGCCATCGGATGGGGAGGGCTTTGTCGCATCGATCTCGCTCGTACGTTCATACCGTTCGCTTCGCTCGTTGCTTTTCGTAGTCGTTGGCGGTAGAGCCCGGCGCCATCGTCATCTTCGCTACGGAATCCGGCGCGGTGATCATCGCCGCCAGCGACGCTCAGAGGGTGGTGAGAGCCCATTGTACCATCACCCAAGGTGGTGCCAGTGTTCTTGCGTCGAGGGTTGATCGGTGGCAGGGGTGGCGCAGTCATGTTGCCATGTAGGTTGGGTGTTGAAGCTGCGCCACCGTTGAGGCCACCGTTGAGACCACCAGGGCCTGGTCGAAGGGCATCCCGAGGAGGCATTTGCGACGTTGGTGACATGATCGAAGGTTCGGACATATCTCTGTTTCGCATGACACCACCAGGGTATTGTCCCCCATACGGCCCTCGAGGACCAGCGCCAGGAGGACCATAGGGGGAGGGGGCTCCATTCAGAGGCGTGATTGGGGATGGTTGCCCAGCATCATATCCGTGGCTGGGCTGAATGTGTAAGTTGTTGTCTGGGCGGTTGAATCTCCCAGGGGAAGCATTGCCAGCAGCGAATGACTGAGGTGGCATGTGTGGGGAGCGTCGCATATCCTGGCCCGGCATCATCGGCGATCTCAGCATCTGACCCTGTCGAGGCATACCATTGGGACCCATGGGCGAGGCCAGAGGGTTGTGGTGATCATCACGCGGGACGGAGCCGTTCCTCAAGCGTGGCGGTCGGCTGCCGGAACGTCCTCCGTTACTAGCCTCGGAACCGCTCCGGTCGCGCTCGGAGGGCGCTCGGGATCCAGAACGAGAGTTACCCCCATTTCTCACCTCCTCACTTGGCACACGGTTGTAGGTGACTGGGGGAGGCCTGCGTTCCTGTGATGGCGGTCGTGAGCCA